TTATGGAATCGCAATACACTTAGAGTCGATAAGGCTTTAGCTTATTAGTGATCTAATCTAAGGTGCTCAGCATCTATATACTATACCCTTTTTTTGAAAAATAAAAGTTCATTCCTAAAAAATGAATGTGATGAGCAAAACATGTATTAGGGTAATTTTTAGGGTTAGCCCTGCCCTTTAAGTTCTTCATTACATCCTTGGGGATCACGCCTAAAGAATATGGGCTATAGACTGAAACCTCAGCTACCTTATCTGATTCAAGGGAAGACTCTCTTTCATTTTTTGCTTTTCTCGACTGGGTTATTTTTCTCCACCTACTATTTCATAAAATCCCTTTCGTCGTTATAGTTCTCATTATTAGAAGACTTAGACTTCTAAGCAGAAGTGAAATTTTGAGTTGGAACAATGGCTAAGAGCAATATAACATTAAGAGAATATGAGGAATGAAAAGATTCCTCAGAAGAAGAAAAAGAGAGGATATCAATGAAAGCTAATTGAGGAGGAAAAAAAGAAAGAACATGAGCATTGATGACAATTTAAAAAGCAGATGAGGTAGAAAAACAATGAGGAAAACCCCAGAATAGAGAATAGTCGAAAAGAAAGGAAAGTCGACCGAATAAATTGGTCTAACTTGAGAGATTGGGAAAAAACGAGGATTTTCCAATTCAAAATCAATTTGAGCATACAACTTATCCACGTTGGACTTTTTCTTATCAAGCCTAAACACTATCTTCAACTCTTCACTACTTTTCTTCTAACATTAGGTTGAGCCAGTAAGTCGTTTGCTATAGTCTGGACCAACAATGATCAATGTGACTAGGTTGTCATCTTTCTGCCTAAGTTGACCCCTTAGACTCTACCCTAAAACTCCCTTCACTCTCAGAACTAGTGTTAATAGACATAGTAAAAAGAATATGTACCAAAGTAAAAGAAAAGCGAGTGGTTGAAAAGAAGGAAAAACTTTAAGGTAGGAAGAACTTGAAAGCTTTTTAGGTTGAAAAATTTAGGTCGAATTGAAAACAAAAAGGCAAAAAGGTGAAAAATAAAAGCTAATAGCCCTTCATATAGACCAGTATCAAATTAGATGAACATCATAGATTGTGCTACAAGTCAAAATACTAGTAAAAATCATCTTTTCACCTTCCCTACTCTGAATTTTATTGTCCAAAAACCTTTCTCCTCATAAAATGTGATATTACTCATTTAAATCGACTAGTCCAAACAAAAATGCTAAGTTGAATTGATTTGGTGAACCAATTGCTAGGTCACCGCCAAGGCATGCACAAGGAACGAATTTTATTAAACGCCAAGTTTCACATCGGCTAGATAAACCTTACCAGCTCATCCAAACCTTATCATCTTCACTTCAGGCCATCTAAGGTGACACCACTTAGCTAACCTCTAAATTGATCATATACCTAACCTAAAGCACACACGTAAGTTCAGACCCACACTAAGTCGGTGTAGGCCAGGACAGCCCAGATTAACCCGAACAAAGAATGTAAACCTCTGATACTTGCCCATTATATCAGTCTTACAAACATTTGATCTCGATCATAGAAGGTCGAATCCCTAACAATCCTTTAAAGCTTGCATTCGTAGAGTAAGGTCAAATTCACAAACATATACAAATAAATTAATCACATACCCAATAGCCTGATACTCAAATTGTTTGTAGGGAAACAGAGTGTTGGGCAGCATTTAGTAGTCTAAAGGGTATTATAATTCATTTTCCTTATTAAAAGCTACCAACAACAATCAATGTCATTTTGGACATATATGCCAACTTGACATATAAGATTGATTTGACATATTCAAAATCACATCAATCCAATCACATCACTCTTGTCTCTCACAAGTCTCTCGCGTCTTACCTATAAATATGAATATCTAGATATTATCAATTCCATTTCATCTTATTCCCAACTCAGTGTATAAACACATAGAACACTCCCTACTTTTGTACTTAATCACTCATTTCCTTTTCTTGTCATTCCAAAAACACCTTTGCGTCGGAGTTCGGCACAAATAGAGCCAATACCAAGTACTTGGTCTTTGATTTTAATGAGTTAAGATTAGAAAGTTTATACCTCACGAGCTAAATTAACTATAGAAAAATGCATAATAAATAGAGTAGATGTTGGCTTAATGGTTGCCGAACTTTTCCTGCCGGGGTCTTCTTAAACTATGTTTTGGATTAAAAATGCAGGTTTTTGAGGGACCTAGAAGAAGCTCCAAGGATAGCTCGAACAAGCGACAGTGTGGTATGAGTACAAATTCTGGCAGATACTGCTTTAGAACCATGTAAATACGCATTTGTGGGATTATACAAGGATTTTCGGTTTAGATTACTGGCAGTGAAACTGTTATGCCTGGAATGGAAACAGCTATATGACATGGAGAGACCACGGAAATTAACTCATTGTCGTCAGATGAGTGATTTTACGTTCACCATTTTGCTTACAATTGCAAGTGAATTGGCTAAAACCACATTGAATTCTTATGGAGGGGTTGCTATTTCTTCTATAAAAAATTTTGCACTCTCAAACGACGAATTAGATAAAATTTTGTATACCTCATTGATGTATTCAATATTCACCCATCTATTTGTTTATCATATGATTTTCAAAAAAAAAAAGCCGTAGTTGTTCTAAACTACGACTCCTTCAATTTTGGCATAAAGCTTCGACAAGCGAAGAGTTACTCGCACCAGATCATACTGCAAGCCATTAGCTTCCATACAGTTATTAATGCTTTTCTGCCGCGTGGACTTTCTCACTGATCCAACTAGGCAATTCTAACGGCTAACTTGACTACTACTTTAATTCCTTTTGCGTAGAAAATGCCAAGTTATATGCTACACTGCCATTTCAGTATTGGCTGATATGTTCTCATTCTTCTACCACATGTCATTCATTGATTAGTTTATCAATATGTCAGGCCATTTTCCCTTGCCACATCATATTGGCGTATTTTTCCTAAAAGAATGAAAGCCAAAGGTTTCAAGGCTCGTTTTGGCAGCCTTGGGCAGAAAGTAGAAGCAGGGCGGTGCTCAGTGCTGACAATTCAATGTGGAAATGATGGAAGTTGAAACCCCGAAGTAAGCAGCAGCTGTCTGATTGTAGGAAGCAGAACACTTAAAAGTGCTACACATTGCCAACTCTCAGTACCAAAAAGTACAAACTGGAAAGCTACCCACCCACTCACCATCTCCATTAATAGCAAATCTTAAACTTCGAAATCCAATCCAACGATTCAGTCAGAATCATGGATCTTGTTTTTCTTCATTACTAATTAGTATTACAATATACATTAAATATTTTGATTTAATATCTTGTCTCTCTTTAAACGCTTTTCTTTAGTATATTACTTTTGAAAAAGATATAGTACCACCATCGATCTTTCTTTTTCAAAAAAATATGTTTATATGTATAAAAAAATATATACATAAATAATATGAATTTTGAACATCCAAGATCATAAAATTTATATCACCTCTACAGCATAAGTACCACTTAACCTTGTCGATCTATAATCTAAGCAGCCAGAGGCCGCAGTCCGCTGCAGCTGATGAGAAATGAAAGCGGAAGCGGCGGTGGCCTGGTGGATTAGACATGAGGTTCGTTCATTCACTCACTTTGGAGATTGTAACTGACGGTAATCAAGTCAGATTAGACAGCGCCGTCAATCCCAGTAATAAAATAGATTATGTCCTTCAGTTTTTGCAGCACCAATTCGGGAACATTTTATTATAATTTTTTAATTAATTAATTATAATATAAAATAATATAAAATTTATCATTTAAAAGTGTAATTCATTGAAATATATAAAAGGTTAAAGAGAAGGTTAAAGAAGGGAGGAAAAAAGGAGTTGAATAAAAGAAAATGAGTTAATTATACCGTCAAGTCATAACAGATCATAACTACCATATACGAAGAATAATCTTTGTTTCGAAGTTGACTATTAACTTGCATTTGTACATTCAACGCTAAATTTTTTTTTTCTAGAGATAAAATTTTTGTATCAGCATACATTTTTCTTTTTTTCTTTTTCTTTTTTTTGTTTGATAAAAGCATGATAAAATTAAAAAATTTACATTTTTTTTTAAGTTAGTATTTGAAATTCAAATTCATTTATCTACTTCTTTTATTTTAAAATTGTGATTTCTTAAAAAAATATATATAATTTTCTTAAGGAAATTCAAAGTCTTAGGTTAGTTGACTATGCAAGCTAGCTAGGGATATACATCCTTGTCTTACAAGTGTGTTCTTTAATCACACTATCGACTTTCAATTATTTTTTTAAACCTTGTAATGTTATAATTATATTTGAAATTATAATAATGCTTTTTCATTCCTCGACTTCATCGTCATCAATTTTGTATTTTTCTTTTAACTACTCAAAATATAATTAAATTAAGGCCATAGACTGAGATATTGAGTAAATATATGATAGTACTAATGCTTGTGGCGTGAAGCAAGGAGTGAAAAGAATAATTCAATAAAAAAATCAAGGCAATTTGTAATTTGTTAAAAAACAATCTGAATAGTTGATTTAGTAATAATAAGTATATTTCTTCAATAATATATAAATGTTTATTTCTTGTTAAAACCGCGTTGAATTTAAAAAAAAAAATTCCAATCTGTACTTTTTTATCATTTGATGAATTTATCATTTTTTAATTATATCCAATTGGGATTACTTTACTTCCAGGTTGGGTAAGGCAAAGAAGAAAAATGTATGCATTAAAGTTCAAAGTATTTGACCGAATGATCATAGCTAGAAAACAAAATGGAAAAACAATGTAAAATAAACTACAGTTTCTGAGAATGATTTCTCACTTTCCTCCTCTTTTCTTCTAAAAAAAAGAGTAGGTGATGACATTCAAACCTGAAATTTTCTAAACATTTAAAACTTTTGATTTTAAGTAAATAACAACTACTCATCAGCCAACTTTGATATTACAGTCAGCTGACTCAAAGCCAATAGTAAGGGGAAATGTGGATAAAATTATAAACAAGAAAAAGACTACATTTACAAGATCAAAATTTTAGTCTGCCCAAACTACATTTACAACCCATTTTGGAGCTCCAACTAAAAGAAAAACAAAAAAAATAAAATAAAATTCCCATTTTGGAGGATAAAATATTGATACCCTGTGAACAAAAACAGGTTGATCTGCGAAGAAAGGAAAAGCGCAAAAAGGTAAACAAGGCAGAAGCAAGTGTATATATATATATTCTATTGTCTCTAGGGCTTCAAGCAAAATTGGAGTTGACTTCTACTGAAGATGGAAGGAAAGCATGTAGCAGCAGTACTGCTTTTTTCTTCAGTTTTATGATGATGATGACGATGATGATGATCCTCAAGCAAGTCAATGTCTTGTGGTGAGACCGAAACTTTTTTGCAGTTTTTGGAGAGCCATTTGGACTGCATATAAGAAGGTTTTCTCCAGGGAGGAACATGGAGACCATTCTCTTTGAGTGACCTTTTAGCAGCTGAGCAAAGTAAAGGGATGATCCTGTTAAGCTTCTCTTCAGTACCAACAAAGATCAATGGCAGACCGTTTATCATATCTCTGTAGGTCACTGTTGGCCTTGCTAATTCAAACTGAGACCTGAATTCCATATCCACTATTACCCTTTTGGGTCTACTATTTTCCACCACCATTACATCAATATACTCGTACCCACCTGGACATTGGAAAACTTCGGAACGCAAAAAAAAAAAAAACCAAATATTAAATATGTATATATTCATGAGGGATTAATGAAAGAAATTTTTTGTTTTTTCATCTGATCAATTTAACTGTTTAAGAATAAGAGAGAGACCTTTGTGATGGCTAGAATTGCAGACCCATGAAGTTTTGCAAAGAGAAGCTTCATAACCATCGTTTCTCAGTTTCATTACTACCAACTTCTTCAGATTGTTCGTCTGATGCCCAGCAGTTCCCATATCTTTTAAATACATTAATATCTTTTCATGTATCCCGACCTCCTCATCCGTGTGTTTTCCTAGAACCTCCTGGAAAAAAAAATTAAGGAATCAGGAGAATTCACCAGAATAAAAAACCGAATAAAAACAACAGTCTGATATATGTTATGGACTTGAAAACCATAGAAGAAATTAACCTGCAAAACAGGTTGATGATTGAGAGAAAGCGGTGTTGTAGTTTTCACTTTCAGTACTGAAATGGAAGTGGGCGTTTCTGATTCAATGAAATCTCTCACCATTTGAACCAGCTCTTCCTCGCCTAGGCTTCCCATTTTTGTCTTTCACCAAGTCTCCAAATCGTCAACTCAACTTCCTATCACAAAAGTCTTTGGAACGCGGTTCTTTTATATCTTGGAAAACCTCACTTAACAGTTCTGATATCGCTAAAATTCAAAAGAAAAAAAATGGTTCAAGTAAATGTCGTCATTTGTCATCATTAATACATATCCAAGACATTTCTCTATTTCCATGCTATTGAACATAATCCATATCATATGTCATCATTTTTCACATTCTCTCACCATCTCTCCCAATTTCCACGTTGCAGCTAAATGATTTTTTTTTTTTGTCCGTTCTTCAGCTCTCCCCCTCACATCATTAATTCATTCAATTCAACGTAATTATAATGAAGCTTCTCCCCACCGTTCCAAAGTCTCAGTTTAGAGACCCCAATTTGCAAATAGGCCAAAATTAAAAGTCTTCAGACTTAGCCCAATACTGTTAAATTTATTTTTGTTAACAGTGACACAAATAATCATGTATTGCTTTTATTTATTCTTTTAAAATTCATAACTTGTCAATTAAGTTTTTCTTTTTATTGGTGCATTTACTATTTATTTTTTATTTTTTGAATAATTATTATAAAATGAAAATAAATAAAAAATAATATTATAATTGAATTAAGATGAATAAATGGCTAAATTTAATTATATCAAATAATATAATATAATCAGTGAAAATAGATAGACCCAAGCATTTTATTTTGAAAAAACTTACCTGTACCAGATAGGATGTAGCATGTTGTAATTATTATGCTAAACTTAAATTTTTTATTTTTTAACATTCGATAGACCGTTAATACTTATAAATAAAAATAAAATCATTAAACTAATCAATTTAAAATAAAAATAAAAAATAGTTTACGTTTAGAATAGAAAATAGTTATGAAATCTGATATCCCAAAATTAATAGATGCACATATTCAATTTAAATTGATTTGATAATTTTTTTTATTTACTAACTTCCAAAATATATACTATAATTTATGATATAAAGATTGTACAAGAGGAATCGATTTATGAAAACTTTATGCCTATGTTTATAAATATATTAATAAGAGCTCAATAATAAACCTTTCCAATAAAAATTTCTAAGCCCAAAAAACAAGTAATGATCTGGACATAAATTAACAAATGATATCTATTCCTATATATATTTTAGAAGAAATGCATGCTTTTTCCAAAGTTTAGGCTATTTTCCATTATATTTTTTTCTATTACTTTTTAAAACAAATTCAATTTCTATTCATAAATATGACTTTTATAGTTTATAGGTGATTCCTACGCATACAAATGATAATGAAAGGTTTTAATCAGCAGTATTAATCTCTACTCTCTATATTGAAGCCAAAGAATTTTTTTTTCAAACATTCCTTTATATAATTTATATTTATATTCATATTTATATATATAATAAAATTAAAAATAATAACTAATATAATAATAAAAAAACATATTTCAGTCTCAGTTATGTAAATTAAAATTTTCATTGAGGACGTATAGAAAATGAATTTTTGTTATAATCATTTTTAAACCTAAAAAAGTAGTAAACATTGAATTGAAAAAAAAAAGGAAAGTTAATTTTCTAGGTGAGAAAATTTTGTTGACAAACTTTGTTATTTAATTTAAAAATAACATGTCAAATTTTAATTTGTGGTACACATTTTAAATCAATGAGAAAGCATATTATATACATATATATATGTATATATAGTTAGTTTAATTTGATTAAGCAACTCAATTTAAAAAAAAAAAAACTTTTGTTATTTTCATTTTTGTTATTTTTTAAAACCAATCATTACCTTGATTTCTGTTATTTCCTCGCAAAAGCAAGGAGCATGGACAATTGAAAGTACATGGGCGTCAGATGTACGCCTTGCAGGCCCACATGGGGGTACGCACGCCTTTAGTTAACGTCCCAAAGTTGAAAATATTGGAGGGGGGCGCAGATCTTTTGTAATTGGGCTAGGCCCAGGCTGAGGAATTGGCATGTTCTTGGGCAACATCTCCGAACTCAAACTCCTCAATGGTGGCCATGATAGCAGCGTAATATCGAGGGTGGTGGATTTCCTAGTTAGCTGAGCTGATTTAGCAAGCGAGGCGGAAAATGACTTTCGAAAAGTGAACTACCATTCTACCGCTGACGCGAAACAAACAGCCGTTACATCTCCCAACAAGCAGTTGGGGACTCTCAGTCAAACTTTTGGTCAATGAACTACCATTCTACTGCTGACGTGGCATCCATCTCTACTACTCTTCTCTTTTTCTCTGCCAAGTTAGATGCTTCCGTGGTTAAAACGTAATCTTCTATAATCCCGGTTTCACGGTCCATTCTCTCACACGACGGCCTGTTACGAATGCCACCACCACAGCCTCCCTTGGACCTTGCACCTCAGTCGGAAGTTCCAATCATCAAGTCACCTGTTAGAAATCAACGGCTGAAGTTCTTCCTCTGATTAAATTTAAATTTAAAATTAAATAGACCTTGCCGTGACATTTTCTTTTTAGCTTTATAAAGAAAACAAAAAATTTGCCAACTGCCTTAAGCAAAATGTCGGTTTTGTTTCGTTTTCTTTTCATCCAAACAGAAACCCAGCCCCATCCTCCCAAAAAGCAATGGTTTTTTTCATTCATTTGAAAAAATTTCTCGGGTTATTTTTTCTTTGAATTGAAAAACAAATTACAATTCTCTGATTTTCTTCGGGAACATTGTGACAACAGGTTTGAACCTAAACTAGTTTCTTTTTTTTATTATTATAAAATTTCCCTCATTTTCTGCAATATTTATGGTTTTTCTTAATTTTAATTTTATCTCCTTTAGAGTAGCTTTAGTAACATTAGGGTTTTATTTTTCTTCAGGTTATCGATACTCTAGCTTTTCTTTGAGTATTGCGGCTTGTTTTCCTTCGCCTTTGTTTAATTCAGTCAATTATTAACTGCTTTTTTTTCGATTGCAATTAGGGCTAAGTAGTTTTCTTGATTGGTTGCTGGGAAAACCCAGGAAAACGCGGTTTTAAGTGATCGTATGTTTTTAGCAAAATGTGAGTCAAGTATAGTTGTTTACTTTATTTGGATGTCTGAAATTTTTTAATTTTAGTAATTACTGCAAATTTGATAGCTTCAATTGTACATTCGGCATTTTTGTTGAAAACTGATAAATTAGGGACATTTATAAAACAAACGCTTGTCTCATAGTGGAGGAACCTTTCTAGCTAAGCAATGGACCTGTAGATGTAGTTCTATTTAATCCCTTTATATCGGTTTGGGACCAATAAATGAATTTTATTTTTGCGTTCACCTTGTCCTTGTCATATCTGTGTTTCTTAGGGAGAGCGGTTAGGGGCTTTGTTTTGTTCGGGCTGGTTATATGTTTAATATTTATTGCTAATGAACATATAGTGTAGGCTTTAGATGTTCTACTTGATAATGTTATAACCTTTGGATTACTAAGAAGATGGGAAGATGAGTGAACACATAAATGATAAATGCATATGGAAAGAGTTCGTAAGTTTGTCATTTTGGATATCTGTATTGGAATAACCACTGGTTTCATTTTTAGCTTCATTTTATAGTAATTGAAGGTGGGCAGATTATACTTATAATGTAAGTCCTGAGCTCAAGCTATTTGTGTTTCTTTAACACCCATTCAGTTGATTTTTTTTTTTTTTAAATTAAGATGGGCTGTAAGGTACTTATTCTAAGCCTGGAATGTTGCCATCAATCAGTGCTTCTTGTAAGTTTACTGAGCTTATTTTTAGCGTCTAAATTTGTAATTTATTACACATCCATTGGTAGTTTTGTTAAATACTCAAACTCCAATGCTTTTTCTTTGTATTAATGGAGCTTTAGAACTGAATTCATGCATTGCTTCCTTTCAATCCTCTATGCCAATTTTCTCTTCTTTTTTGTCTTTTTAGTTTTTTGTTTATTATCAATGTAATATTACTTCTTCTGGTATTTATTGTTGATTTATGGTATCTATGCTCCTTACAGATAATTTCAGTCGTGGTCCCCTAGGCTTCTTTCTTTTCCTTTTTTAGGCAAGCAATCAATTTTCATGTTAGGACTGTATAGTGGAAATGAGCTGAGAAAGGATAATCGCATTGTAATGTGGTAATTTTTGTGTGCTCATTCTGGGGCAATCTTGTGGCAACAAAAGAAGGGCAATTGTTCTTTGCAAAAGTGGTAGTTTGACAGCAGTGGTATTCTTACAATTTGCAGAAGGAAAACATATATTGAGCAACTGAAGAACAAAGCTTGGTAAATGTATATCTTGCCTTATAGATTCTTCTGCAACTTAAGATTTTGATCAGCACGCATTGGTTTCTTGGACTGTTGAATAAGATTCTTGCCTACTACTGCTCCATGGGATGGCGAGGTGTCTTCTATTCTTCACTTTTCCTTCTCACCCTAGTCGAATCATCAAGCAGATCAGAGAAAATATTGTTGCCATACCTGGGCGCACAGAAAGCTGTAGAATTCAGCTGGCCTGTCTTCAGTGCAAGCATATTTGTGTTTGTTGCTCTTGTCCTCTCTATGTACCTTATCTTTGAGCATTTAGCTTCTTACAATCAACCAGAGGTATTTTATCATCTTCCTATCCGTTTTTGGATTTTTTTTTTATTTTTTATTTTATGTTGCACATTATTATTATGTTCTATGTTTTAATAGATGTGCCTTTGCTATTTAACTTCAGGAGCAGAAGTTTTTGATAGGACTCATTCTGATGGTTCCTGTTTATGCCCTGGAATCGGTATGAGTGTATTAACTATTTATTTTTTCTCTTACCTCATCTCTGCCCCTTTTTGGCTTCGCTTATTCATATTTTTAATGGTTTACTATTAGTAATGGAAATGTGTGTTTAACTGCATTTGCAATGGTTTTGCTTGCAAGCTTTGCACGGTTAGGTTTGAATAACATATTTTAGGGATTTGAGAAAGTCTTTCTGTCATTTCATCAGTCATATGTTTTGGTGACAGTAGGAACTTGAGATAAACATCATGCTTTGCTGGGTGATGGTGATGTGTTAATGAGATGTTTTGGCATCAAGTAATTCAGTTTAACTTAACTAGGTTAATTTCATGTGCTATCACAGCACCGTAGGTGGATGGTGTCATTGCCTAATCTCAGATTGAAGCAGAATTTACTTATTTACCATATAATTAATACTTGGCCATGTTGAAGATATGGTAAACAAATTATGAGAAGCATGATTGTTATCCAAATACTCAGTTAAAGTTTTTTGCTTGATGTGCTTATCATCCCTACTTGAACAAATTCATCTTTTCTAATACCTTTTTTTTTTGGATTTATATTTGAATTTTTATTATCTTTTGGGGGCACATTGTCAGTATATGATGTGGTTTTCATGAAGCTTTGCACTATTTTCCTTGGAGTATTGTCTTGTCTGCTTAGTCATTGGGAGGGTGCAGGGTGGCGGGGAATTGGATATCATAACTGAGTAAACTGACTATAGTAAACTGACTAATGGATGATTCTCACAGCCTCCTAAGAATGGAGGATCCTCTATCTTTGAGACAGTTGATCCTCATTGTAGTTTAAAACATTGCGGCAGGCCAGATGCTCTTTTCCCATTTATCTACTAATTTTTTGCTTTAATTATTTTTTTTTTTTTACAATTCTACCTTTACAACTTGCTTTATTAGCTTTAAAAGTTTGTCCATTCAAGTAGAGCACTTCTTGATCTTATTATATGCTATTTTATAAAACATCAGTATCTTGGCATCTGATTCTGTAGGGATATTTTACAAAAGGAAAAAAAAAATTGTAGCAATGGTTGCAGGTATATGTAACTTTTTATGGACTAACTGTGTATTTTGGATTTCTAAAATTTTTTTGATGCAGTTTTTATCACTGTTGGACTCTGATGCCGCTTTCAATTGTGAAGTAATTCGGGACTGTTATGAGGCTTTTGCATTGTATTGCTTTGAGAGATATTTGATAGCTTGTTTAGGTATGTGTAGAAGACTGAATGTTTCATTGTGCATTGATAAGCTAATAGTTGTTGTCTTGAATGTGGTTTGTAGAATAGATTACTTCTCATAAAGTACCTTTCAGATCTTCAATTTCTCATTTGTTTTTTCCTTTTTGAGTAGGTCTGTGTGCTTTGTCCTTTTTTGTTTGTCTTTATTTTTCTCTCTTTTTTTTGGTATCAATAAACTGTGCTTAAGAAATCTATAAGAAATACATATATGAAGAGTTAATATGTGCTTGATGGGCGCATATGTCTTTAAGTCATTTTTCAATTGAATGTCCAGTGAGATGCACTTTTAGTGAAAGCAGATAGCCTCTGCCCCTTGCAAACCTTTGAATTAGATGGCAACTGCATTTAAAGGGCTTTCATTACAAGTCAGATTTGGAAATCCTAAAAGCCTTTTTTTTTTGGGTTTAACTAACTGATTCAGGGACTTCTCATGATTATTTGAAGCTGTTGCATGCTTATGTAGGCTGTTTGAGGTTTAGCATTTGTTTTATTTGTTAGTGAGAAATCTTTTACTCTACTCCGATAGTATTTATTGCTGTAGCTCATCTGGTAAGTCATTTACATTGCTGCTCAATGGAAAACTATTTCCCAGAAAAGTTATCTGTTTAAAATACAAATTAGTTGAAAATAGGTGGTTTGGCAATTTCATTTTATAAGTAATAATATGTGTTTCTGACCTTTACTTTGCTAAGAACTTTAGTTGGTAGTGACCTGACAAATATTTCATTATGTCTGAATTATAGTCTCATATAGAGAATTCTTTTTGTGATTGACACTAGCCTAGATGTATGCCTAGACATATAGACTGCTTGTAGTCCTTCCTTGGCCTTGCATAATAGGGTGATAAATAGGTGTTTCAACCTCCAACATGGAGTCTTAAGTGATCGCCTTTGGGGTGTCATGGTAACAAGGTTCTTGAATGTTGCATCCACCACCGTGTGCTTCCATTTACTTGTCTACCAATACCATTTTCAGAACACAAAACTATGCATTAGTGTTTATTTTCCCCTAATTTTAATTTGACCTGAAAAATGGTGTCTGTAGGTGGGGAGGAGCGTACAATTGAATTCATGGAAGGTCAGACACTAATCACTGCCAGCACCCCTCTTTTAGAAGATGCATATTCGTATGGAGTTGTTGAACATCCTTTTCCTTTAAATTGCTTCCTAAAGGATTGGTATCTTGGTCCCAAATTCTATCATGCTGTAAAGATCGGAATTGTTCAGTATGTATGTGTTTATATGTCTGGAAAACATTTTCATTGCTGCTTTTGAAATTTTACAGCCTTCAGGTGCTTACCAAAGAATCTTTCTTTCAGATGATATTGAAGATGATATGCGCACTGCTGGCAATGATTCTGGAATCCTTTGGAGTTTACGGAGAAGGAAAGTTTGAATGGAGATACGGGTGAGATATATATGCTTCCACATTTTCAGGATCTGAAAACTTGATTGCACATATATTACTGACTTATCATGGGCGGCTATGGATTTTAAGTTCATATCATTTTAAGTTTTTATTTTTTATTTTTTATTTTTTTGGGGTATCTATCATCACATTCTGACCTTAAGCACTCTGATTTTCTGGCAGCTACCCATACTTGGCTGTTGTTCTTAATTTCAGTCAGACCTGGGCCCTATATTGTCTTGTACAGTTTTATGCTGTTATTAAGGAGAAGTTGGAACCAATTAGACCACTGGCCAAGTTTCTGACGTTCAAGTCAATTGTATTCCTGACTTGGTGGCAAGGTGTTGCCATTGCATTTCTTTTCTCTATGGGAGCTTTTAAGGGGTCATTGGCTCAGGAATTGAAAACACGAATACAAGACTATATTATCTGTATTGAGGTATGTTATTAAACTATATATCTATATTGATAGTTGGCTGCAAGATTTTAGAAAATTCTTTCTTTCTTTCTTTCTTTCAGCAAGAGATTGGTGTACTGAAAGTGTACTAGTCTAGTTTGTAAAGTAAGCAATGATTTTTGAAAGGTTTGCTGCTGTTGGTCTACAGAAGACAATATGTAATATTATGTGTTTCTGACTGAATGTTTAAGGTTTAGGGTATAGGGTTATATTGTACGTTATGATATTTCCCCCCTTGGTTTCATTCAATTTTTGGCTCCTTGTAGGTTGTTATTTAACCTATCCTACCTCCAGTGTTTTTGCATAAACTGTGTTCTCCAGACTGAAACCTGTGCTCAAACTTTGTTGCTCCAACTCTTGTTGGACACATATCTAACACATCAAAGTAGGCATGGTGATAGGGTCTTTTGAACCTCAAAATATAAGAGAAAGCCTAGAAATGATTGAAGACGCAGAGTTGGATTCCCATGTCTGATACTCCTTTTCTGGGCAATATAGATTGGAAATGCTTGTATTAACATTGTATCTTTAGCATTTAGATAATATTTGAGGCAGGGTGTTTCTGATAAGTCTACACATCATGGATGATCTATGTTCTAAAGTTTTCCTGACAGTGTATGGTTATATTTGTGTGTGGTGCTAAACTCTTCTTGTTTCTTATGCCAATATTATAATGTATTTTCAAAGTTTAAAGTGATACTCTTGTGGGAGGTCTAAAGTAATTTTTGTGAAATAGATGGGTGTTGCTGCTGTTGTGCATCTTTATGTCTTCCCAGCGGTATCTTACAAGCGTGGAGAAAGATGTGTTCGTAATGTAGCTGTTATGACTGACTATGCTTCTCTGGGAACACCACCAGATCCTGAGGAGGTCCGAGACTGTGAAAGATCTACTAGGATGCGCTTGGGTCGCCATTATGAGAGAGAGAAGCATTTAAACTTTCCCCAGAGTGTTCGTGATGTGGTCTTGGGAAGTGGTGAAATTGTAAGACTATCTCTCTGCGTTTCTGGCTGGATACCTTTTCTATCTTCCTGGTTTTCTTCTTTACTTGTTATTTATCATTTTGTTTCCTTCTGAAATTGGTGGATTCTTAAGTGCTTTTTTCCCAAAAAATGAAGAATTTTACTTATTTATATCTGTTCTGACTTTGTGAACCTTCTATCATATCTCTAGATTGTTGATGACATGAAGTATACAGTTTCACATGTTGTTGAACCAGTTGAAAGGGGAATTGCTAAAATAAATGAGACCTTCCATCAGATATCTGAAAACGTGAAACGCCACAAGGAGGAGCGAAGGAGGAGCTCTAAGGATGACAGTTATCTTATACCCTTAAATTCATGGAATAGAGAATTTTCTGAAGCTCGTGATAATCTTGTTGAAGGCAGTGCTAGTGACGGTGGTCTGGCCAATGGGAAGAAAAATCATGTCCATCCTAAAGCTGCGGCATCCGGGAAACGAACTGCCAGATAATATTTGCAGCTGTTTATCGCCATGGGAGTTATCAAAAGGTATTTGTTTCATCATGGTTTCTTTCTGGACAATGTCAAAGATACCCGGCATGTGTATGCAAATTTGAATCTTAGATTTTTTTTTCCCACTTGCTCTTTTTAAAATGCTACCTGTTTCTTGGGTTAAGAACTTGGGAGGGCATGACCTCGATACTTTCTAACATCGGAAATATATAGAGTAAGATCCTGACTAAACTGCAAAATTTTGCTGCAGTTTGGTGAATGTATAGAACTCACTTTTCTGAACCGGTGTAAATTATGATGATATATTCACTCCATTATAAAAGCAAGATTTCTAGTGCCTTTTTTTTTGGGGGGGGGGGGATTATACATTGAAATTTACTTTTTTGTACTTTTTTGGCATTCTCCATCGAGTTCACACATAATAATAATAATAATAATAATAATTTATTTTAGTTATTACAAGTAAAAGAAGTTAAGAAGCAAGATCACTACTAGTAGCTTATTGGGGTTCCATTTGATAGATGCTTTTATTTTTTACTTTTGGTTATTTGCTATTTGTTTTTGGTTTTCTGATCATTTTGTTTTACATTTTGCTTTTCAATAATTTTTTTTGTCAAAAAGCAAAATCATTTTGAGTTAATAATGTCTATGAATAATGGTAAGATACATAATTAATATTATCTAAAGTTCGGTTGCAAGAATATCCAAGCAGATGGATACCATATAACTGTAATGGAATCTTTTTTGTACCAAAATGAGCATTTGTTCTTCTACTATATGATGGTCAAATAAATATAAAATGTTTTTTTTTTTAAAAATACTACTCTGTCAAATAATCTATTCATCTTCAGATTGTAGACATTTTTTACTGTTCTTCATTTATATGATAAAAATATAATAATAAACGGTAACAAAATTTGAAGAGTAATAATTATCCTATCAAAACAAAAGGAAATTATAAATTAAAGATAGAAGAAAAAAATAAAAAAATTATAATAATAAATTTTAAATTTTAAATTTATTGAATGCTACTCTAAAAAAAATATTTTGTGAACCAAAGTCCCGAGTTTTCTGTTACTGCAATTTACAATTGGAAGAGCAGTCCCAGTTTTTTTAACAAAAAATAATGAGCCGGACCAAACCCTTGAGATAAGGCCTTAAGGCTTGAATCCACGAGCATACCAAAAGCAAAGTCCAAAACAAAAGGGCATAGAGAGGACGTGCAGGGTAAAATTGTGATGACTGGAAAAAAAGTGAAAAGGGTGGTGGGATTAGGGTTTAGAGCTTCTTCCCTCTATAAATGTCAAACCCAGTTAGCATGTTCGTCCGCCATCGTTGCAGCCACCATCTTTGTTTCTTATAATCTTTTTCTCGTCTTCGACCATGGTTGCTTTAAAGTTTTTAAGAGCTATAATGTAGATTTTAAAGGTATTTTTAATTTTGGGCAATGATGAGGAATTAGAGAAAGTCATGCACCACGCTGATTCTAATGTGCTGATAATTTCTCTCTACCCATGTTTTTTCTGAGCTCTTTTCTTTCTTAAAAAAAAATACTAATTGTTTTTCCACTATTCGATTCATCTTCGCTAAACCCTTTTTTCCCCTTTAGTTTTTCAATTGAAAACATTGAAGAAAAAAAAATAATAAAGGGAACCAAGTGATGTGATCTTCTTTAACGAGAAGATTGAACCATGATGCGGACCGTACAGCTTTCAGCTTCTGGGGATAACTTTTGGTTTCTGATGGTTCCTCTCTTTTATATTTTTCTATTTTTTTTTAAAGATATATTTTGGGTTTGATTTAAATCTTGTTCTTGGAAAATTCTACCAGTACCAGGCAATCAGATAACTGTTGGTTGACTTGAAATGCCACTCAAAAGAAATGGTAAAAACACTGGATCCCCAATCTAGAAGTGTTGGGAGATCAAGTGAACAGGATGAAATGTTGGATGTTTCAGTGGTTTAATGTTAAGCGTATGACTTGAATTTAAGAAAATTAATACAGGAATTAATCAATAACTTTTGATTCATAAGCTTTGAATCTGTTTCTACAGAGTAAAAGCAGACTGCTTTCAAACAACAGTTAAATCAGTAAAAATTATGGACTGCTTTTAAACGATAAATTAAGCACAATTTTGTAAATTTAAGCTTTTTTTACCCAAATCTAAGAGTGGGTTTTCTTGTTGAACACCTGCAAAAATTTCCTTGAGTTTAATAGCAGTTCTTTTGTCAAACAACTAGCTACTTCGGGTCTCCTGTCATGGTAGACGAAGGAACGGTTCTATCAAAACAAAATAAAAAGCTTTGTTTAATCTTATCAAGCATTTCTTCGTTCAACTGCCTTGAAAATGGACGTGATGATGAGATTTGTGAGATGCAGTGGGTTAGACTGTGTAGTTGAAGAAAATCCTTAAGCATCAAATTCAAAAGCAAAAGGAAAAAAAAATTCTGAAACATGTTTCTTGTAAAAATGCTGGATACTTTCCTCGCAATTAAAAAACTGCTTGGATAGTGGAATACGGCCAAATCTTTTCTTTTCCTTCTCGCGAGGAGTTCATTGTATGAGGAGTTTGGTTTTAACTAAAACTCTTGAACTAGAGATCTTGCCGTGGTTCATTTGAATTCGCTATTAAATTATTAACATGTTATCCCAGGGGCTATTCCTTCAAGCAGATCTGACTTTCTGTATATTGGTATCTTATTTATTTTGTGCTAAATACTTATAAAATATAAAAATTATTATATTATAATTATGTTTATATGTAAATATAAAACATATTTTTTGATTTCTTATTAAATTTATATATAATTTTCTTAAAATATTAGATCATATTATTTTTATATTATTTTAATTATTTTTTATTATATTTTCATCTTCTGTTTAAAATTATTAAATCTACTCTTTGATCATTTTGTCAGAACTGTACATGGCTCATACAAATAGTTATACCAGGTTCATTACCTCCAGTTAATTTGTAATTGAATCGTTAATTTGCGATTACATTTCATTCATTCCCTTCAGTTTCGCAAGGTAAATCAACCACTAATAATTATCCGATGCACGAGTTCAGCTATACTTTTCAAATTGAAAGGGAGCTATATTATTTTCTTAAATCCAAAGTCATCCAAAAAATTTGACTAATTATTTTCAACTTTTTCACGAGGTTGGCGTAATAAAAAACAATGGAAAACCGCCTTGGGCCACGGCCAAGGCCACGAGGATTTCCACTAGCAACTTTGACTGGTTGCTCACCACAAACAAGTTTTCCTGGTGGACGTTGCGTGCTCATCCACAGCAGATAAGCCTAGTCCGTATAATAAACTGAAAATCAACTACCATTTGAAACTGTCTTCTTATATTAATAATTAATCCTGTCTTGTTGTCCACACTGGTTATCAATTGCTACTTGAATTTGAATCTGAATACTCTTATATTCACATATTGATCTACTGCCTGGTGACAACAATTTTTGCCTATATAAGATCCCTTGTTTGCCATAGTACTTGAGAAAATGGCTTCTTCAGTCACTGATGATCAGGAAGACAAGTACCGTTCTTACTTACATGGAGAGGGTGAAAAGAACACCAAGTGGAAGTTGGGTGCCCCTCCTAACTATGATGTTGTTAACAAGCTCTTTGAAGAAGGCAGAACTAAGGTTTCTTTTTCCTCCATAATATGCATGATTAATTGTATATAATATATATATATATATATATATATCAGTTATGTATTCAATGTGTCATTATTGCAGTCTGATTTTTCATTTTGTTGATGACAGATATGGCCCCCTGGATCACTCGAAGAAAAGGTCCAGAACCTTGTCAAGACATGGGAAATGGAAATGTTCAATAAAATATCCTCCCATGACTATAAATCGGTTATTCTAGAGAATTATACTGTCACCGTAAACGGTATCACCATTTCTTTTCCCAATTTTTCATCTCAGGTTTATCTTATCATTGTTCAAAGAAAAAAGTACTGATTTTTTGTCATAATATTTAGGTAGGAAACCTTTGACTATAGAAGAAAAGAGAAAGCTTGGGGGAGGTTATAACTCATTTATGCAGACCTCTTTGCCAGAGAACTTGAGGGGTTATAACCCAGATGAAGAAACTGCAGATTCCTCTCATGTTGCCTTCACAACAGCATTCCCAAGAGGGTTTGCTTTGGAAGTTATTCAAGTTTATTCAGGGCCGCCATTGATTGTGTACAAGTTCAGGCACTGGGGTTATATGGAGGGTCCTTTCAAAGGCCATGCCCCAACTGGGGAACTTGTAGAAATCTACGGAATATCAATTTTTGAGGTATATATTTGGCCTAAAATTTTTTATTCTTTATCTTCTATATGGTGAATAAATATATTCCATATTTCTCCTTTGAAACAGGTTGATGAACAGATGAAAATCTTGAAAATAGAGTTCTTCTTTGACCGTGGAGAGCTGCTTGGAGGTCTTATGAAGGGTCCTAAATTGGATAGTGGTACTGAACAGGTGGCTTTGAGCTGTCCATTCTTGAGGAACACAGGGTAGCTTCCTTGGATGTGTATGAATATATTTCTGTATTGTGATGAATAAAAATGATCTTTTCAAAAATATTCTTGTGTTATTCTCTGTGTTCTCTAAAAATATTATTAACTACATCATCAGTTTCCTGAAAAGACAAAGGAAATTTACAAATACCAAATATTACAGCAGTAAATCTATAAGCAAAAGAGCAGAACATTATTTTTGGAACGGAGAGTCAAACTATAAGAGGAAAAACCAGATTTTAAATCCGGATAAAGATCAGAACTTACATGAGCTTCCAGAGTAACTCTATAGTTTAAATATTCATTTTACCTTGTAATCATGTATTTAAAGTTTACTTCTCATCACATTGTATAAAACAGAAACTATATATACATTATGAATAGAACATGGCAATTTTGCCTTTTGTTTCCTCATATTTCCTGTCTTATTGATTTTAGCTTATAAAAGGAATGAATCCTGTTTAGATTTAAAGTGATTTTATTTTACATGGTAGTGTCAGAGAGATTTCAGATTGTTTTTAATTGGTAAATAACATTTAAATTTTTAATGATGCAGATCTCAATCAAGTAAAAAAAAACATATGGTAGTTGTAATTAATTATTACCACTCATTATCCTTTTCTTATGATATAATTGTATTTCATTGAATTTGAGTTAGAATTCCCTTCTCCAAATTAGAAAAAAAAAATGAATAAACCGAATTTTGTACTTATGTAACTGCAAATAATGCCGAATTTTGTGAGCTATATTAGAAAGGAAATTACAAAGAAATATATATTTTTTTGGGTTATAATAGGAGAGCACAACCCTAATACAAGTAAAGGAAAGAAGAGAGGTCTGGTTTAAAATCAAATTCTTGATGTCTCATCAAACGCTTTTAACCACTAAACTAAAGACTTTGAGATAATTACAAAAAAATATTGAAGCATATGTATCTTGCCCATATTTTAATTTCTAACCAATGTAGTTATCATCTCTGCTAATTACAAGGTCACGAACCTTTCATAAAATTCAAGAAAACGAAAATGATGCAAAATGACAAGAGGACTAGGTGGATACCGAAGTTCATGATCACCAGATAAAGCTGTCCACAACCCAACAGAGAAGCTGACAGTAGTTATCATCTCAGAAACAAAGCATGGGATCGTTTAATAATATCCTTAAATCAGTAATTACCATTTCTTGGAGACTATTGCATTTATGTTCAATTAAAAATGTTCTTTAATTTCGGTTACTTCATTAAGATTGAAAGGGCCAGATTCTAAAGGTCAAATATGTCAACAGGCGATTGGTTTGTTGGAAAAATGTTATACTCTTAATTTTGGTTATTATGATTTAATTTTTAACAATTTCAAATATCCAAAAAAAAAAAATCCAAATCTATGTTTATTTATAAACGATTTGAAATTGTTAGAATTTTTTGTAAGTGTGCTACTATTAATTGATGGTTTTAATAATTTAATAAAATCAACTGATAATTTAATTTTAATACGAGATAAGCATGAGAGTTTAAATAATTTAATGTGATCACCTAAGTGTAGGTTTTGCACATCTATTGGGTCAATGTATTGTGATGGTTATATAGACCTTTAACCCAATAAGCCTTTGATGGGAATGCTGATAGGGTTATTTAATTAAGATTAAAATATGTCATAGGTTCTTATATTTTTTTATTTTAGAAATTTAGTCCCTACAGTACTATTTAAAGGAATTTAGTCCTTATAATATTACTTTTAAAAAATTTAGTCTCTATAATATTATTTTTTAAAGAATTTAGTCCTTGTGCATTGTTAATGATTAAACTGAAATCTTTAAAAAATAATACTACAAGTACTAAATTCTTTTAAATAATACTAGAAGACTAAATTCCTAAAAATCAAAGAATATAGAGATTTATGACATATTTTGACCTTTAATTAATTAGGTTTAGGTCCCCTTTTCACTTCTGCAATACAATAACTACCCATTCAGAAACTGTTAACAAAAGAAAAGTGAAGATGAGCACCGTAACTACTTTAGAGATTATTTTGCTTTTGAGAATTCACAATGATTGCCTAAACAAGTATGTCGAATCATTTTGATTAATGTATGGTGTTATAATTTTCACATAATGATCTTGGATTAGTATTTACATGTGGGATCAGAGCTTAGTTGTGTGAAATTAGGATCCTAATTTCATCTTAATTTAACTTATTTTTTGGTGGATTACTTGTTTGGGACAAATAAGTTATTGCCATAATTTTTTTTGAATTCTGATAATTATTTTCAAAATTGGTTTAGGGCTTTTGTTCCCTTCTAAAAGAGGATTAAAACCATATAAAGATTGTTTTTTAATTCCTTATATGGTGAGAGAAATCGAGGTTTAAATTTTTTAGTTATAGCTTTGATCAAAATTATTATTTTGTTTATAAGATCAACATTTTATGTGTTTAATTTGAAATTGATCCTTGGGTAATGTTTTTAACATATTATAAATATGTATTAAAGCGTCTAATTTCATAAAATGTTGGTGAAAGATGATCAAATACAAAGAAACAAAAATAGGTTGTTTATGGGTTTGTAAAATCCAAAATCTTTTGTCAATTGATCCTTTTTTTTTGTGATTTTTGCATGAATTTGATAAAAAAATCACTTTAGTCAAAATTTTGACACTTCAATTTGTTGAAAACACCGTGAAAATGCATCGAAAATGGCCAAAAACTATTGACTGACCTGAATGGGTAGAAAAATCAATCCAGTCGAGTCAGGCCAACCTAGTTAGAGGTTGAAGAAGCCAACCCACAATGCCAGACGAAGCCCACGCACAAGGAGTGGTGCTTATGATGCGTGTAGGCTCGTCTGGTGGTTATTTTTTCTAACATGCTTAGAATTTTATTTTTGATTTTTCTATGATTTTTTGAAAATTTTAACTTCCATGAAATATTTATTGTTTAATATTCATGCCTTGTTCAGTAATTATTATATACTATGCATATGATTTTATTTATTTTATTTGATGATAAAATATTTTGGTATGCTAGGAATCTAATGGCAATAGGTATATTTTCCCTACATAGGCCTTAATATTTAAGTACTCTTAAGTTGAATTTTATGTGCATAATTGATTTGCAATTAAAAATATTTTAAAATTAAGTTTAAGACCCAAGTTTAAATGTAATATACATTGTTTATAGAACCTAATGAGATAAATCTAGGTTTAGTATCTAAGCTGGAATGGTCCATTGTATACATTAAGGTTGAGAATGCAAACTAAAAATTTTAGGTAATTAATAAAATTTTTTGATTTGATAATTTTTTATTAATTGATATAAGTGCTTGATTGCTAAAGTAGCTTACTTATTGAAGTTAATGGAATATTTATCATTATAAGATTATGGGATGGTTATTAAATTATTTGATGCATTTACCTACTTAAAAAGGGTTAATGTGTAAGGTAATTTATTTTGGAATATAAAGTATCATGGTTGAGGGTGTATAGGTCTAGAAAATTTATCTACCTAAAGGGAATAGGTTTTTCAAAAGCTAGGACATTTTCATATTAGCTTTATGTGAAAAGTTCCTAATAGCATGTTGCATTTTCTACCCAAAGGGGAGTTTATGATGATGCACCTAGACCTTTCAATAATTGTTAGCACATCACGAATCATTGTTATACAACATATGATATTGCCCATTGACTAATATTGTTTTTTGCTTTAAACAGTGACTTTTACTATCAATAACAATTAAGCCATTATCGAAGTACTTCATAGGTCTAATTATAAGAGATGAAATGAATATTTTAACTTTGCTTTGGTTATGAGCGAAATAGACATAGCTTTACATTTTTCAAAACCTACTGATCTTACTAAAGAAAGTACTACTAAATAAAAAAAAATTTTTGCCAAATGGATAAAGGCAAATTGTATGTGCATGACATTAAGAGATATATTTCTGAACATCTTTTGAATGGTTTGGATAATACCGAAATTGTTAGGGATCTCTATAATATTGTAACCAATAGATACCAAAAATCCACTAAGTTTAAGGCTGTGAACCTTATGAGTGAGCTTACGAGTATGAGGTATGATAATGCAGGGGGTGTTAAAGATTTTATTATGAGAATGGTCCACATTCAAATCAAATTAACTTCTTACGAAATTATCCTGTCCGACAAATTTATTGTTCACCATGCCTTTAATTCATTAGCTATTGAGTTCACCCAGATCAAAATTACCTAAAATGCTATGAATGAGGTTTGGAGTGTTAATGATCTTATTTCAAAATATATTTTTTAAAAAGAAAAACTCAAGAAACAAAAGAGCGAGAATGCCCATCTTATTATCTACTCTAAACTCAATTATCAAAAAAATTATAAAAACCTAGGATATCTATTCCTAATGCTCGTAAAAAAGTTTAGGATAATAAAAGACATGGTAACGGTCAAACTAAAAGGTAAGAGATCCAAAAGCTATAATTAAGAAAGATATCTGGTACTTTCCTAAAAAAAAAAAAGTTGTATGAAACATGAGTGTCCCATAATAAGGCTTAATTAGAAAAAAAAAAGAATAAATAAAAGGTAATTCACCGGTACTCGTTTGTTTTGAATCCTACTTTGTTAGTGCCCCACTGAATTTGTAGTGGCTTGATAATAGTGCAACTGTTCATGTTGTGTTACCTTATAGGGTTCAAAAGTAAACGGAAGCCAAGTGAAAAAAAGGTCAAACTTAAGTTGAAAATAATGTTGAAGTAAACATTACTTATGTAGAAACAATAAGTTTAAATTTGGATTCTAGTTTTTAACTTATTTTGAAAAATATTTTTTATGTACCTTCATTTAAGAGAAATTTGATTTTAGTTTCTATTTTGGATAAACCTGGTTAGTACTTTGGCATTGAAAACGAAAAAGTTGATTTATTTTTAAATTTAAATATTGTTGGTGAATTTAAACTTGTTGACAATTTTATATAAACTATGTTTGGCCTTCAATAATGAATATAATTGCAATAATGTTGAAAAGATAGTGTCTAAAAGATCTTTAATTGAAGAAAACTTTTTCCTGTTTTGGCATAAAAGGTTAGGTCACATTTTTAATGAAAGAGAGCAAATATTGATAAAAGATGCTACTTTACCATCCATTGTATTTGAAAAGTTAAACACTTGTGTTGATTACATAAGGGGTAAACTAATTAAAACTAAGAAGAAATGGGCAACTCACAATTATGACCTTTTGAAACTTATACACACTGATATTAATAGACCTCTTACATCTACTTTGTGTGGTAACAAATATTTTTTACTTTTATTGATGACTATTTCCACCATGTGTATCTTTATCTACTTGATGAAAAATCCAACGTTTTTGATAAATTCAAAATTTTAAAATTAAGGTAAAGAAACAATTAGGGAAAGTCATCAAAGTCATTAGGTCTAACTGAGGTGGTGAGTATTATGGCAAACATAGTGAAACTGGATAGCACATGGGACCATTTGTCAAATACTTTCAAGAATGTTTGATTATTGCCTAACATACTATGCCTGGTAGTTCTAAACAAAATATTGTGATCGAAAGGTGGAATCGCACCCTTAAAGATATGATGAAGAGCATGATGAGTAGAATCAATTTTTTTAATCTCTTTGAGGTGAAGCTATTAAAACTACTTTATATATATATATATATTCAATAAAGTGCCTAGTTAATCTGTTTTTAAAACACTTTTTGAATTGTAGACTGGTAGAAAACCTAGTTTGAATCACTTTCGAGTTTGGGTAATTTCTTATAAAAGTTAAAATCTATAACCCTTCTGAAAGAAAGATTGAACCTAGAAGTACTCGTTACTTTTTCATAGGATATCCAAACCATTTTAAGGATATAGGTTTTATTGTCCTACTTGTTGAACTAAGATTGTAAAGTCATAAGTAGTAAAGTTTCTTAAGATGGATGTTATTGATAAGGATATAACAGAGGTTGTGAATAATAATGAATCCATTATATATGTCTCTATTTTTTTGCCTACAACAGGGTGCCATATTATGCCAGTGGCCATAGAAAAAAAAGATTAAGGACAGTAGGATATAAACCCTTATCCTATTAATTGTATTTCTATTAATGTACAGCAAGTTCAAAAAAATAATATTGAAATTCAACTAAGAAAATCTACCAAACAAAGAAGATTTGCCATTTCTAATGATTGTGTAATTTATCTTGAAGAGAGTGACTATGACATCAGTAATGTAGTTGATCTTGTCACTTTTGGTAAAGTTGTTAGGAGTCTACAGTCTAATGTATGGATGGATACAATGAAAGATGAGATGAATTCTATGGCTCAGAATGGTATCTGAGAGCTTGTTGAACTATCAAAAGGGTGTAAACCTATTGGTTGTAAATGGGTGTATAAAACCAAAAATGATTCTAAGGGAAAAATTGAGAGGTTCAAAGCTAGAATAGTGACAAAAGGATTTACTCAGAAGGAATGAATAGATTATAATGAAACATTTTCACCAGTGTCTTACAAAGATTCGTTTAGAATCATACCATATTTTAGTGTAGTTAGGAGTCTCATGTATACACAGGTTTGCATTATGCTAGACATTGATTTTACAGTGAGAGTTCTTGAGAGATATCTTTCTAATCCTGGAATAGATCATTAGGTTACCACTATAAAAGTAATGAGGTACTTACAAAAGACCAAAGACTATATGTTGTTTTATAGAAAGGTGGATAATATTGAGATAGTTAGGTATGTAGATTCTGACTTTGTTAGTTGTAAGGATGACATGAAATCCATTTCAGGATATATTTTTATGTTGGTTGGAGGAGTTGTGTTTTGGAAGAGTGTGAGGCAAACACTCTTAGCTTTTTTTACCATATAGGCTGAGTTTGTAGCATGCTATGAAGTTGCTACACATGCAATATGGCTTAAAAATTTTATTTTAGGTTTTTGTATTATTGATTCCATCTCTAGACCATTGAAGATTTATTATGACAATAAGTCTGCCATGTTATTTTCTAAGAATAACAAGAACACTAATGGGTTTAAACATTTAGAGATAAAATATTTTAAAGTCAGATATTTTATGAAAATGATGAAATTGTTGTCGAACACATTGAGATTGACAATATAATTGTTAATCCTTTGACTAAGGGGTTTAGTCATGTTGAGTAAACATGTTGAGAGCATGGGTATTCTGGGGTCTTTTGATGTAGTTCATTAGTAGGAGTATATCATTTGTATTTCATACTCACACATGATTTGTCTTTATATTTAACCTTTTACTTACGTTTGAAATATTTATATGATATTTGATTCTATGCTTAAATGATGATCATCGCTGGTTAATATTTATGGTGTTATTTATTATTGGTACATACATTTGAAAAATTAAATTTTGCTATATACATTGTGAAATCTTAAGACTTGGTGTCTACCTTAAGTATAACTATTTTGTTATATGAGTATATCTTATAAATGATACTAACAAGTAACCTCGAGGATATTAATAAGACATACAAGCATATCTGGATGCTATGGAGATTTCTCAACAAGTTTAAAGAAATCACAAGAGAACTAATAATGAAAATAACATATTGAAATCATATTTAAGTGTTATTTTCTTGCTACATAGCCACATTGAGATCCACTATCGATGAAGTTTTTAATACTTGTAACTATTTATTGGTCTTATGTCAATAAAGGGCATAAAGACTGTCATGATTTGGTATTAGATGGTTTTATTGAACTGGATCATTAAAATGTTGTCCCAAAAGCTAAGTTAGTTTTTAAAACTATGGCCACATCAAAGTAAAATTAATCAATTTAAAGTCTTATTTTTTAAATTATGTTTTCTTAAAATCAAACAACCAAATTAATATTGCCAAAGTGGGAGAATGTTAGTATTTTTTATAAAGTGGGCTATTATTAATTGATGATTTTAATAATTTAATAAAATTGACTGATGATTTAGTCATAATACAAGAAAAGAATAGGAGCCTAAATAATTTAATATGATCACTTAAATGTGGGTTTTGCACATCTATTAAGTTAGTGTGGTATGATGATTGTGTAGACATTTGGCCTAATAAGCTTTTGATAAAGAGGCTTTTAGGGTTATTTAATTAATTAGGTTAAGGTTCCCTTTTCACTTCTACACTACGTTAATTACCCATTGAGAAACTGTTAACAAAAGAAGAGTGAAGAAAAAGATCGTAGCCACTTCAAAGATCATTTTGATTCCAAAAATTCACAATGATTGTCCAAACAAGTATGCAATATTTCTTTAATTAATGTATAATGTTTTAATTTTCACATAATAATTTTGGATTAGTGTTTACAAAAAACGTTATCAATTAAGGTGAGATTGATGATTTTACAAGAAAAAAATGATTTTGAAGTTTTATAACTGCAAAATTGTGATTGTAAACTTGAATAATATTATTGAAAAAGTCATTGTCATTGTCAATCAAAACGTATCAAAATGAATCACTGATAAGATATGGGGAAATTTGATTTTGACTATAACTACTTTTGTCACGAGAAAAACCTAAAGAAAGTACTTAAATTTTGTTTTCCAATTGATACATGAAATTGGGTAATTGTTTGAATACTAATATTGTTATGTCCCAGATAATTTTGCCTTTCAATATATATATATATATATATATATATATATGCTTTTCTTGTGTCCAAGAAATGGCAATTTCAGGTGTTGGTGAGACAGCTACCATTCAGGGGAGAAACTAGTGGAACTCCTCTACCTATTGTTCCCTTTAATTGACCAGTTTGAATTATAAATTGCAGTGACTCAGAGTAATCAAACAAATTTTCATCGAAATATACCAAATTTAAAAGAGGTCAATCAGTAGCCAAAACCAATTTGATAATCTGTATATATATATATAATATATCTATAGCCTATAGCATACAGAATTTCTCTCCAAGTAACTTGTCTTTTCCTTCGCAAGAATCGACATTTCCTTTGGAATACTCAACAGTCTTCCTTGTACACTAATCAACCAATTTTCAAGTTTTTCACGTCTAGCATATAATCTTAATTATATTGCCAATTTTTAGCAGTATACAACGGTGTTGTTCTTCTGACAACCTTTGTGGACATTGATTGGATAGTTGAAACACATATCCACCAATTAATTAACTATATTGATGCTTATGTTCAAATGAAGACATGGAGTAGTCTGACACTAGAAGATTATTCAAATGTCATCTTAGGAGAACATTGTGCCTATATAAAATCTCTTCTTTACCACCAATAAGCAAGAAATAAACTTCTAAGTTTCAACTATTTAGGAGATGGAACTTTGACTGGCTGCTCACCACAAACAAGTTATCATATTGGAGGCTTTCTTAGCAGATTAGTCTAATCCGTATAATAAAGGAAATCGATCACCATTTGAAACTGTCTTATCATATTTCCTAGGTGAACATTGTGCCTATATAAAGTCTCTTCTTTACCACTAATAAGCAAGATATAAACTTCCAAGTTTCAACTATTTAGGCAATGGAACTTTCAAATGTTGAGGGAGACAAATATCGTTCTTATCTGCATGGTGAAGGAGAGAAGAATACCAAATGGAGGTATGGAGCTCCTCCCAACTACGATGTTGTGAACAAGCTCTTTGAAGAAGAAAGAACCAAGGTATCTCTCTCTTTGCTGATCCCTTCTTTTGTAGAGCTTGCCTTGTTTGTCATTTCTATTTGGTTTTCAATCATTGCTAAATCTGACAATTTTAAATATGATATGATGATACGATAAAAAAAAATATAAATTGTAAAATTTTAATTTTTATGTTTTATACATATTTAACACAAATATGCAAATATACGTAATATGAATTGTTAGATCTTATTTTTGCCATCTTAACTGTTATTGCTAATCTGTTAATGGAAGGTATGGCCCCCTGGTTCACTAGAAGAAAAGGTGCAGAACCTTGTAAAGACATGGGAAATGGAAATTTTCCACAAGGAACGCCTTGAAGATTTCAAAACCATTGATACAGAAAAATATGTTTTTAGCTTAAATGGTGATACCAGAAACTGAATCAGGAAGCTCATTTTACAAGTTTTAATCATTCATATTGTCATATAATGCTGTTGTTTTCGATATTTATACAGGTAAGGGAGCTTTAAACATGGAAGGAATAGGGAAGCTTGGTGGAGGCTATAACCCACAGTTGCAAACTTCCCTTCCGGAGGAGTTCAGGTGTTATGATCCGGATAAGGAAACATCAGAATCATCTCACAGGGCTTTCACAACAACATTTCCGAGAGGCTTTGCCCTAGAGATTCTTAAGGTTTATGCAGGGCCTCCGGAAATTGTTTACAAGTTCAGGCACTGGGGTTACAATGAAGGTCCTTTCAAAGGACATGCCCCGACTGGAGATCTGGTAGAGTTCTACGGAATTGCCATCATGGAGGTATTTATCCTAGCCTATATTTTTAGTCTTGACTTCCTTCTTCCTGCTTGTGAATGAAATTAAAACTTGATCAAATGTGAAACAGGTGGATGAAGAGATGAAAATCGTAAGAGTAGAGTTCTTTTATGAACGTGGAGAACTGCTTGGAGGTCTGCTGAAGGGTGCTCCCATGGATAGTTCTGCTCTGGAGGCAGCTTCTAGCTGTCCCTTCCTGAGGAACACGGGGTAGAATTTCTGCCAAAATTCTTCAACCTGAATACCTAAATAAAACCTTCTTTGAGCTCACGCTGCTTGCCTTCAACCATTCGATAGAACAAAAACTAAAGCAAAATAAAACATCCTCTGCCTGAGATTGTAATTTGTAAACACTTTCAAATGCTCATCTCAAATTTGTCAAATCTACAGAGTTTTGTTACCAAATTTGTTTCCTAGAAGCAAAAATTGAAAACGAGATTCCAGGCTCGCACCAAAATGCAGCTTTCTCCAAGCTAGATCTAGTAATTTTAAATTACAAAAAAGACAATAACATGATTTAAAATTTTAATAAAACCGTATATAAATTAGACAAAAAAAAGTTCATATGTAATGTATCGATACAGTAATTTTCGTATTTGACATGATACAGATCTACTTCAAGCATGTAAAGTTTAATCTATTTTACTACAAACTTAGATCATAAATAGCCCAGAATTACATATAATGCAGACTTCTGCCAAGCTTGTAAGTTGTAACACATTTACTACAGCCTAATTCATAAATGATCCAGAACTAGAAACAGCACCAAAATACAAGCTTCCTCCAAGCTTGTTAGTTGGAACTAATTTACCTAGTTCATGAATATTCCAGAATCATAAATAGCAGAAGAATACAACATTTTCCTTGAAAATGCCTAGGCCTTTTAGTTTTTGATTAGAAGCCAAAATGAAGACTAAAATCCAGGGAACAAGATCATGATGAAAGAGATTCCAGAGATCATGCTATATATTTCTGGAAATATAATCAGGTATTCAGTAGATTACTGAAAACATGACACGTTTGATATTCCCAAGCCGATGGCAAAACAAAAGCTCCAACAATTATCCTATCGATAACTGTGACAACAATGAAGAAAAATCACGAGATAGAGAGAGAGAGAGCTTAGTGGTGTGATCACATCACAAATTCATCGTTTCTTTTTCTATTAGTTCGGTAATTAAAAAATTATTTAACAAGAATTTATATTATGTGGTCAAGTGTCCTTTTGGAGGTCTAGATGGGGTACAGGCTATCAAGAGAAGTAAGATACTACAGTAAATTTTACTCTGCCCATGGCAGAGTACCTCGATAAGGAGAAGCCCCACAATATCTAAACAGACCTTCGATTTCGGGGCATCCATTGGGATATGGAATTGACCGATGGAAGGGATCACGACCTATCTTTTTCCTCTTAAGTAATCCGATACATCCATATGGATCTTGTTGAAACTGAGTCCTCACCAATGCCTCACCTTTCAAAGCTGCTTCTTTGGAAGTTGGTGAAGCTGGGGTGCCCGTGTAGAAGAATCATGACTCTGGAAAGACAATGGCAGAGCAATGCAAGTGTGCAAATCTTTCTTCCTTGAAATCATAGCTTACAACCTAGTCCGAATGCAATAGGATTAGGATGAATTTTCTTTCCAAAACTGGGGGAGCAAACAGCACTTTTTATAAATAAAGAACAAGCAAGTACATTTAAAAACAAGAAACAAAAAACAAGTCAAGTACTTTGAGGTAACATGTAATGGAAACCAATGGGCTTCCCTCCCCATCATTGTAGAAGTACAGATGCACAGGGAGCCTCTACTAGTATAAACAGTAAGCATATTATTGGGCTAAAGATTTTGAAAGGTATACTCTTTAATAGAGCAATCATTTCTTTATGCCCCAAAAACTATTCCTTCGCATATTAGAGACTAGTTGATGGACACTTCCATCATCAGCTACTTGACAAAAGGGAAGAACATGCAAGAAGCTTTTATGTGGAGTGATGCATATTGTAACTGATGCCTAACGACACTTGTCAAACAATTTCTTCATACAACTGAAGAAATTGAGGTTCACATGTGAATATGATATCTCACATCACTAAAAAGTGGGAAGTAAAGGTGGCATATATACATGAAGAATCCAAGAACCCATTGGCTTAGGATTTTTGGTTCAAATGGTGTCCAACATGTATGCATGAGCTCCTTTGGGGTGTTCCCATGGGCTTAGGGTTTTGGCTTATCTCCCCAACAATATTTATAATAAGCGTAACTTTGACTATAGGTCACTTAGGCTAAATTAATATATATACTTTCCATAAACCAAAATAGTACAAATGGTTCATCTAAAGAATTGTGTCTCAAGATTTTCACTAACTTTTACAAATAATATATTTCTTATAATTTTAAGAAGTGTCCACATCTTTGTATCCCATTTTTGTGGATTAGGCTCCTCTTAGTTATTTTTCTATCCATTTCTTTTCAGTACAGCCATCATCAACATTCAAATGTGTAGGATCCATCTAGAAATTGTGGAACTCATACTTGTGATTCGTGATTAAAGTTGTCTTGAAAGGCCACGGACAAGTAATGGACAGAAAAATGATGAAGGGAGCCATACAATTTTTGGACACTTTTAGCAGAATCCAGGAATCAGAAATTTTTAGCAAAAAGCGAGTTAGACATGCAGACACTTACTCATATCCAACATTCATACCTAAGTGCATGTAACATGGAAGTTGGTTACTTCGGTTGCCTTATGTTGCAACTTGGTTATTTGGATTAAGGTCTAAATCACAAGATGTTATATGAACCCACCCAAAACCCTTTTGATTTGATCAGCAAGGACTACACTGAATAACTTTGACATGTGTATGTATGCAGGAAATCTGATATGCTTTTGAGAACTAAATGTATTATTCCTGGCTGTGGCTGCAATCATACTTATCTGGGTGATTTTTCTGGTGTTCAATGACCTTATGAATGGAACTAGATAATTACTCTAATGCTTTGCTATTTTGTACTAAGAGTAGGAACATTAGCTTAATAAACAATAAAAAACCATTGACTGTTTACCTTCCAGTTTATTCTTTCACCCTATTTAAACATGCTAAAAGGAGGGAAGAAGAGGGGGAAGGGAAAAGTAAAAGTAAGAAAGACCAACAAATGCAGAATGCTTACAGTTATGTTGTGTGGGTATGTCCCAGTGAGCTCTCGAAACCGACAAATACTAAAGAGAAGATTCTCAAAGCTATCTCTTGCATACTCCTCTGTTAATGCCCTCGACTTCACACTTTCTTCCTTCCCTGAAAAAAATCAAATATAATGACAATGAGACTCAGATGATTCAAAGCCTTCATGCTGCAAAAACAATTTCATGGGATAAAAGTGTGAAAGAAGAAAACTCATAAACTTGACTAGAAAGTGGATATTGCAATGACAAGTTCATTATTTATATATCAAAAGATCAAGGGCGTTCTTCAGTGCCATAAAGCACAATTATAAACATAGAACTTGCAATTAATCAGCAACAAGGGAGTTCTTAGTGCCTTTTGGCATAATTTTAAACATAGAATTGCAATTAATCGACAATAACAGCTTCACAAAGGCAACATGTAATTACTTCATAATAAAATATAGCGCATATCCCTTATTTCAACCCTTGTAAACAGAAAAACATTCTTACACTTATGAAGTGAAATGAGAGTGATCTGCAGCACCAGTCGCTTAAGCAACAAGTGCTTAATGAAAGAGCAACAAAGGACTCCATGCTTCATTTCCCACTTTTAGTGTTAATTGGAGTCAAGGAAAGCATTATAGGATGCAGTTACTTTTACAAGTTCTTTCTCATTTCTTCTATTGCTTAGACTTTTTGTCCATGCATTTTTTACTTTAAAAGAAAACAAAAGAAGCCTCATATCAACGTAAACAAGTCTTGCTTCAATACATCCATTGCAAATTTAGAACATCTGGAAGTTTGTTATGAATTGGCATTAATTTTACTGCTTCAAACATGCTGTTGGGTTTACTTCTTACACCAGAGTGGCTGTAACTAATGGTACAACCAACATTAACAGCAAAATGAAACGCTACATCTACTTGCCGACCAAATTTTCATGCACAAAGTAACGATGAAGCATACACATGGAAATGTCAATATATCAGAGAGGATAGTTAAGTTGAGTTCCCTAGATGAGACCTCAAACTTACTAAATAGAGACATGCACAAGAGGACATGAACACTGACAAAAGGTGCCAAATCCTATGAAGCACAAGCTAACTGCTCACATCAGAGAAGCTGATTTCATACATCAGTTTCCAGGTAAATATGGAGGAGTTTCTTTAGGAGAAAAATGAAATTGCTAGCATGTATACTGGCTAGTCCTATTAGTTGAAAGCAGTAGCTTAACTGGAATCCAATCTAACAACATTACCACCATCAATATATTCAAATTTTTTTTATAAACATCCAGTTGAATTCAGTACTAACTCTTGTCTAACTAGTATTCTTACTAATTCAACCAAACCAAGAGTTTCATCTGCCCCAAAATTATTCTTGTCAATAATATCTGGTGGAAAAGGCCGCTTGAAAATTGTAATAATTGAACTTTAACTAGTACCCTAAAATGTTGTGAATTTGAATTTAAAGGGTCGTGAACTTATTGGAACTAAAACTAGAGACGGTCATGAAATCAGAAAACTTGATATTGCATAAAAAAGCAACAAATATATAGGAAGAATGACCAGGTAAACAATCAGCGCAATAATCATATATTGTCAAATTTACATTTAATCCTTCAAATCAACAGGAACATTTGAACTAGAAATGACGTATGGCAGGACAGCATATAATCAGGAAAATAAAAGGACTGAATAAGTGAACATACCAAACCATCCTTTGGATTCAGCAACTGTCCAATAACTCTGCGCCTCACTTTGAGGACCAGCATCTTTCCGAGTCTCTCCACCACTAAACAGAAGCAAAGCCCCATCATCTCTTGCTGTGCTTTCTATCCCTTCTTTTATGTGAGCCAAAAAAGTAGCAGCCTGGCCTCTATTCTTCTGATAAGACTCCAAAAACCAAGAATCCTCCTTATCAACTTTCCCACAACTACTACTTGTATAAACCGAATGTCCAGCCACAATTACAAGATTCTTAAGCCTGGCAAATGGATAGTTATTATCGAAACCATCACCAAGTATCCTATAATTACTCAGCATCCTATAGTGGTGCTCATATAGAGATAAAACTATGAGGATTGTAACCCCAAATGACAAGCAAATGAAGAAAACAAGAAGTGGATGTAGCTTGTAATAGTAATGAAGCCGGTTAACAAAGGACGTAATCATTCCAACAGGGTAAAATGGTGAATTTCTAGGCCTTCTGGTTCTTTTAACAGTTCCTGATTCTATATCAAAGTCACCCCTTGGATATGCATTGAAGGACTTAGGACTTTTTGACCCAAATGGATAATTATTCATGATAATATAAATCCAGCTGAAAAGCTTCGATATTTATGCAAATTAAGCATACCCAGATAGGTAATTGGACAGGTTAAAGAATCAAGTTATGGCATTTGATTCAATTACACAAATTCAAGCATAAACTACATAGAGGAAAGATCTTGACCATCAAAGTTGCAGTTCTTTTGGCAGCTTAGGGAAGAAGAAACAGAATGTAAGGCATTTAATAAAATGGGATTTTGATTCTCTTTGAATTTCATGAGTTGAATGAAAAAGTAAGGAGATGTAGAAAGAGTACACTCACCAAAAACCTGGCAGAAGAATGTTCAAGATCTAGATTGGTGGAGAGATTTTGGTTTTAACTTTTAATGAGAATGATTGTTTGAAATAGATAGACGATGGTAGAAATTTCAGATCCAGAATAAATTTATTCGGACTTGCAAGTTTGGAACGTTGAAATTGTTCACTGCTGACAGATTCAGAGATAGCGAAGGGAGAAAACAACAGGGACTCAATTCTTGGGTTGCCCTTTTGAGGCCCAAAAAGAGATCCATATGTAATTTCCTTTCTGAAAATTGTTTTTGGTTACCTAGTCGGCCTAGCCTCCGATTCATTGAGATATATAAAAAAAATGTCATACTAAGTTTGAAGTTTTAAGCATACAAATAAAACACCCTTTTAACGATCTTGAGAAATTGTTTTTGGAAAGTGCAAAATCTTAAAGCTCAGTTTATTTTGCGAAAAATAATTTTTAAAAAATAATTTTTATATTTTTTTTTGTATTTATTTGATAAAAAATTAATTTATCAACAAAAAATAATTTATTGATCAATGAAAAATAAGATTATTTTTTAAAAAATTATCGTATGAATTTAAAAAAAATATTTTTGAAAAAGAATTATTTATGAGTAAAACTATTTATTAATATTTTTAGCATAATTTTACTTATAAATAATTATATATTAATAAAGAAATAATATTATATTAATAAAAAATATACTATTAATAAATAATATTATAATATAATAATAATTTATTATTATATTATTAAATAATATATTAATAAATATTATTATAAATAAATATTACAATAATATATTAATATTAATATTAATAAATAAAATTATATTAATAAATCATATATTAATAAATAATATATTAATATATTAATAAATAGTATAATAATAAATATTATTAATTTAATTAATAATATTGTTATAATATATTAATAAATAATATAAAGAATAATAAATAGTTTTTATTTTAAGTATTTATATATTAACATAATATTTTAATATTAAATATTATTATTAAAATGTAATTATTTTTTAATATTAATAATTTTAATAATAAATAATTTCAATACATTTTAATGATAAATAATTTTTAATATTTTAATAGTTATATTAATATTATTTGAAAAAAAAAATTTCCAAAAAGCAACCAAACAATAGAAAACATTTTTTATCCAAATAATAAAAAAAATTTTAAATCAGAAAATATAAATATTTTTCAAAAATTATTTTTTAAAAGTCATTTTTTACAAAATAAATGGAGTTTAACTAGCTTGAAAAATAAATATAAAATAGATATAAAATTTTAAAATAAGATTAAATAATATAATTTAAAATTTTGATAAAAAATTATATATAAATTTAATAAAATTAAAAATATATTATATATTTTCACATTAACATAATTTACAATATATAATTTTTATATAAAATATGAGATAAGATATAAATTATTAATATTTTATTCGATACCCGAATTCTCAAGTTTAATACAAAAGAAGAGAACCAATTATCTACTTTCAGACTTCTTTGAAAATTGTCTGCTACATAAGTTGCAGCTCCTCCTAGCTCTTAGAATTTTTTATTTTGGAAGGATTAATATAAAAATAAGGTGAATTATTAAAAATTTAATAAAAAATAATATTAAATAAAATAATAATGTAATTAAATAAAAACTTTTAAATTTTTTTTTTACAATTTAAAGAAATTTCTTGAATATTTAAAGAATAATTAAATTTTAATTAATAATTTTTTGAAAAAGGAAGAATAAGAGTAATATATTAAAAGATTGAGTTTTAAAAATGAAAATTTTTTATAAAAATAAAAAAAATTATAATGTACAATTAAAGTTGTAATTTTATATGCACAGTATATATAGCTAGTTGAATTTTTTTAATTGCATTTTTTTTGCCTCTATAAAAAATATTTTGATATAATAATTAATGTCAACATCTTATTTAATTAATTAAAAAGAAAATTTTATTTTAAGGAAATAAAAAATTTAATGAAATAATAATGATTACATTAAAAAGAATAAGTTTTTTTATTAAAAAAGAAAAGAAAATCAAATTATTTATTGCATGTAGAAATAAAAATTTTAACCATTTATGAAATTTATCATATCATTACAATGTTCCTAAAAAAAGACCAAATTATTAATTTTTGGAGGATAAAATATGATTTTACAATTTTTTTGGATGAAAATATACTTATGGTAAAGTGATTTTGAGGAAATAAGGGCTAGAGCCCTGCCAGCCCCCTCTAGTTTCGCCTCTGCTTGGGCTCAAATCACTCCATGAAACGCATTCTGTCATTCTTAAAGGTACTTGTAAAGATTATCCTTGAAAAGCTTTAGCTAGTTGAACTCCTAACCTTCTTTTCAAACATTTTTTTGGACCAGTCTTCCTCCTTTCAATTGGCCTCCTGTCAAAAGTTTCTGCTTAAATTTCAAGTCATTCTCCCAACAGTTTCGGGTTCCTTTTTACTCGATTAGACCTCCAAACTACTATTTATACATAAATATGCTTGATGAGACCGATTCAAGAGTAAAATAAATTGCTTGTTACCCTGATGATGCAAATATTTGTACAAAGAGTTTAGGGAATCCTCTGTATTTTACATGTCTACATACATTAGAAAAAAAGCAGCTGTTGAAGCAGATTTTCTTGCTATTTAGAAGGCTATTTACAGATAACATTTACAGGAAAAGACAATGGGGTTGGAGAGCACTACAAGCTATAACAAAACCAAGCTCTGTATGTTTGTTCTTGCCTTTTTCTTTCCCATATATTCTCCTTAGGTTGACTTTAACCTATCCAATCGATAAAATCTCTGCATAACCAAGAAAATAAGCATTAGACATTGCCCTTTAGTACATCTATGATCAACATTGACAAATATACTCACCAGGATAGAGTGGATATCTTCTAGTATAGGAACAAGTAATGAAATTAAGGTCTGCATATCCTCTTTCAGGTTGTCATAATTTTGATCTTTTGTCATGAGAAGACTGATGAAAGTTTTGTTATCAGGCACGAGTTTTAGCCCCACCTGCAAACTTTACATCCGTTAGCGTTTAACAATTTTAAATATTATACACTGACATGATACGAAATCTGATTCGTTTAAAATTTAGCAAATATTATATGAATTTAACAAAAATTTTAAAAGTTATTTTATATTTAATATGTTGACACATGATAATTTTTTGTAATTTAAATGCATTTGACACGACAAGAACACAAAATAATTACACGAATTCTTAGATCTTCATGTTTAGACAAATTTAAGTTATGCAATATTATGGAACTTTTACACAATCCTGAAATATTACTTTAAGGACATTACAGTTGATGACTTGCAGAATTTGTCAATGAAACAATAGTAGTGATAGACTGAAGAAAGAATTCTAGGCATTCCTGGAGTTTTGTGCCTGAGCTAGAAATTTAGCCTCATATCCTGTCATCTAACGAAAGCTTTTTCTTGAATAAGTGGGTTATGTCAGTAAAAAGGACTGCTAAATCATTAACACTTGAGACTCATATAGGCAGTAGAATACGAGGGAAAAATTCTTGCAAAGAATCAGGAATGCCGAAATACCTTAAAAGCAGCTGATGAAATCCAACCATGACATGGCTTCAAAGTAATATTATAGGATTCTTCAACTGCTTGTTCCATGTTCTGCCCGGGATCCTTCACCAATCTTTGTAACAAAGCTACCATAAAATCCATTGACCTGAAAGTTTGTTTAATTTGGTCAAATAAAAAAACAAAGTTAAAGCTTGTCTCTGTTTCTTGTAGTTAAAGACAACTCAAAAATAGTTAAGACCTATAATTAACAAAGAAGGCAAAAAATAGCAGACCCTATGACAGAGACTATCATGGATCCAAAGTTGCAGCACTTTGATTATTCTCTTTTATTTTATGGTGATAGAACAGAAAGCAAAGCTGAAACTACAGTTATAAGTTACATTATTGGAGAAAAGATTTGTTCACATCTGTTAACCTTTTTGCTAGCCATGATCAAATTGTAATATCTTTATTATATAATCTGCTTACCTAGTAAGCCAGAGAAAGGCTCTACTGCAGCTGGTACCCTTTCTTGCGTTGCCTTCACTGCCTTCTTTTTTCAACATCTCAATCAAATTTGAGTACTTTGTAGGATCAGTTTCGCAAAGAATCTCCAATCTCTGAAAATAGAGAGAAGAAAAAAAGGGTTCCATCAATGTTCAAATAATCAAGAAAATGACAAAATTATGTCCTCACATGGACGGAAATGCCCATGGAAAAATTAATGAAACGACGAAAATAAAGCCAAAACAGCAAGGTTTTGTTAAAAAGTCACAAGGGTGTTCTTGCCATGCAAGAAAAGTAAAGTATGCTGTGGTTTACTTTTAACCTGGATATTTTGATGAATGTCTTGTCTAAGGACAGCCATAGTTGGGCCTATCTTATCTGCAAAAGAACAAAAAAATGTAGGAAGAGAAAGTTTAGTTGATATTTATAGACCCACATGTCTGAAGAAGAAGAAGAAGAAGAGAAACTGACCAAGAACTTGAAGAATCAAGGTGCAGACATGAAGAAAAGGCTTGGTTGGTATATGAGCAGCGTCAAGACTATCACCAGGCTGAACTTTCGCTAACATGGATAGCTCTTCAATGGCAGCTCTTAACTCTGACCTTTTTTCCATTTCCCTTCTTCTCTTCATTTCAATCTCCACAGTTCTTTTCTCCTTTCTCTTAATTTTAGCTTAACCTTATATAGCTAACAGCTGACTCACCTGAATTTTTTTATGGACTATAGGCAGCGGCTGAGAGATTTTAGAATTTAGAAATTTAATCCAATAGATATGTATGATTGAATTAAACTAACAAAACAAAACCCATTTGTTACTTAAGAAATGCTGACCCATTTATTAATTTTGTTGTTTTTATTTTTAATTTTTGTTTAATATTCATTTCTTCTCTAAGACTTTGATGGTGACTTTGTATTTGACCTCGGAGTTATCTATGAACTATACATATTTATCATCTCACTGTTATTTAAACGTAATCTTATGGTTTTTAAGATCTCATCTATACACTTTACTAGTTTAGCCTGAGTTTTGATCTCATCAATGAATGCATAAATTAAAACTAGAACTGTTGTGGGTCCTTGATGAATTAATCTATACAATCATAATTTTCTTTTTTCCAATATGAGGGAATATTTATCATCATCTTGGCCATACTGAAAAGGTTTAGGGAGCAAAACAGACTAGAAATTTTAAAATTGAACTAGAGCAGTTAGTAGTTATATCATCAACAGGGTTGCAGCATGGATTTAAAACTATAATTATATGATTTTTTTAGCTCTTAACCATCTACAAATCCATGATCCCTGTAAAATTTTATAAGGTTATTAATTCCAACTCATCCATGCCACTTCACCCATTCGTTATACCCATTTAAGTCATATTAAAGAAACACAAAAACTTTCACTAAATTAAGTTCAAGAAATACTTTAAACCATTCCAAAATCATCAAGCACTGTAATTTTATACGAGTTTGGCACATTCAAGGAGGAAGTATGGTTAATGTTTCCAATATTTAAATGTATCCTTGTTAATTTTTTGATTAATTTATATTAAAAGTAATAATATAAATTGATTAGATTAAGTCTTGATTTTGTATAGGTAATGTTAGTTAAATGGTAATTGATCCAAAAAATCTTTTAATTTGAAAGGTAGAAATTAAGGCACCATTGGGGGTATTAAGAATTACTTGGTCGATGAGAAAATAATTTTATAAATAGTTTTTAAATAAGATTAATATTTCATATACCATAACATATTATTTTTATATACTGTCAATGAATAATATAAAAATACTCCATTAACGAATAAAATTTTAAATTTTAAACCCTTAAAAATAAATATTAATAAAGATATGACTGGATAAAACTCAAAATTTCAAAGATGATTATTGTCAGGGCAAGTAAGGACGTTAAGCCGGCGGTGTTTCGAATTGAATGGAATGAGCACCAGAGGGAACTCCCCAGTGGAAATGAATGCGAGTTGCATGACTTGGAATAGGCTCCGAAATGAAGCGGACGGATGAGAACGGAATCTTTTCAATTGAAAGAGAGTAGAGTTCAACCAACCTGCCTGTGTGCTTGTGCGCTCGGGCAAAGACAGAGAAAGAGTAGAAAAGAAAGTATGCGGTAAATGTAGAGAGAGGTGACAAAGAAGAGAAAAGTTTTAATTTTAATTAATTAATTTTAAATAAATTTATTAATATTTATTTTTAAGGGTTTGAAATTTTAAAATTTATTTATTAATGAGATGTTATTGTATTATTTACTGATAATATATAAAAATAATATAATGTCAGTGTATGAAATATTAATCCTTTTAAATAACAATGAAATATTTAATATGATATTTAAAATTTAAAAAATATTTCATCTAGTATTTGAATTATGATACATGTTAATCAATGTAATATTTAAAAGAGTATATATTATACATATTTCATCATTAAAGCTAATTATGTTTGGGGTTAAATCATAATTATCAAAATCAAATCGTACTATCGATCAAACTGGTTGAACGGGTGAATCAGTGGTAAATCGGTTCAATTCTATAATTGGACTAATTTTACAATTAAACCATTTAAAATTATTGTGAACTATTGATGTACGTAATAAACTAGTAAATTAGATGGTTTTTTTTTTAATCGAGTTCGATATCAACTAATAAGTTTAAATAAAATATGAAAAAATATTTTTCAAGTATTTAAAATAATCTAATTAAGTTCTTATACTATTATTTCATCTAAATAAGCTCCTTAACTCCTATTTTCTATTATGAAAATCTTTGGGTCTTTATATTAATGATATGTTAGTATATTTTGAAACATGTGGATAATGATTGAAAAAAACTTACACATGTGTAAAAATAAGCAATTTAAAAAAAACTTATCTAACGAAAAATTTTATTAATTGATACTATAATTAAAAATAATTATAAAATTAATAATAAATAAAATTAATAAAAAATGAAATGTTAATAAAAATGATTAATTATTTGATCATGAAAAAATAATTAATAAAAAAATGTATATATGTAAAATTAATAAAAAAAATTTACATTCATATAAAAAATATAAAAATGATTTTAATTTCTTTTTTACTAATTTTCATATAAGTATAAATATTTCTTTTTATTAATTTTATATATAGATATTTCTTTTTATTACATAAAGATTAATTATTATATATTAATAGATAATATTTATATTTTAATAACTATCAATAATAATTATTATTATTTATAATTATTTATTATATTTATTAAAATATAAAATATAATTTTAATAAAATGTTAAGTAATTTCATTTTTAACTAGTAATTAATTATTTTATGAATTTTATATTTAAAATTTGTAATTTATGATATACCTTAAAAATTATAGTTTTATGATTGAACTATTAAACTATAACTTGAGTTCAATTTTAAATGATTTAATATCTGATTCGATCACGATAACTATGAGTTAAACTTTATTATGGGAATTTGTTTGGCAGCATAACAGTTGCATTTTCTGTTGGTAGTTATTTTGTCAGACCACGCCGAGAGGAAGCAAGCCACTTTTTCTTCATAGATCCCCTAGCATATAATTATTTTAATTGAGCTTATATTTAGTTAACTATATTTGTAATCACATTCAAGAATCTAAAGATTTTGCATCATATTTTTTTTCATTTAATTGGCACTTCTTTATTTTATTAAAAATAATTATTTATTATTTTCAGCTCTTTGATTTAATGATTAAGAAGATTAAGAACACTCGTAGGATGGGAATTCGAACCCCAATTATCAACATTCTCTATTCCTTATCTAATGGATAAGAAAATAATTATTTATTTTTCTAACCTTAATTTCTTTATTCATTTGAGCAGGCAACTAACTCTATCTGGATATACTTCTCAAAGGTTATTATATAAACTTTCCAACTTTAATTAAACTGTTTTATTTTTTTATAATTGATATATTTCATTTATAAAATTTAAATTCGATTTTCGTTGTTAGTAATTTTTTTTGGTGAATAATCTATAAACCTAATATAAGTTTTTGTTAAGAGATCCTGGATACAATGTACCTCTAGCCCTAAAATAAGATATAACCTTCCCTCAGCTAAACTTTAGGAAAAAAAATAAAAAAGGCTGTTTTCTGTCTTTAGAAAATTGATTTAATTATGTTCTTAATGTCCCTATTATTAAACATTTATGTAAGCAATGATTCAACAAATGGATATGGTTGAACCTTTTATTTTATATTAATTTTCTCTTAGATAATGCAAATCATAGCTTATTGGTTACGAGATTGCCAACCCTGCTTGTAGAAATGGAATCCTTGCAAGAGTTTCTTAAGCTTATTTTCAAATACAAATATTAAAATTTAATATTTTAAATTATTATAATGAATAGGCTATGGTGCTATTATATTAGGAGACAAATCTAATTAGTATTTTGTCTAAATTCCAATGAAATTTAAATTCTTGTTTCATTTACATTACAAATGATGAAATTTAAATTTGGTATTTTTGATGCTTAAATAAAATATTATAAAAATATAGTGATCAGCAACCTTTTTCTGTTTCCCCATTTTTTTTTCTTAAAATAATGATCAAACAAATCTATACCTAGAGACTTGAACCAAACCATCTGTTGCAATCCAGGAAATCAAGCAAGTTTGAACCAATCATTCAGGCTCCTATACCTACTTGGCTTCCAAGTTAATTTCTGGAATGGATACAACTTTCCTGTTTAGGCAGCTTTACATGGCTTCCAGACAATAACTTCATCTTCTCAATTAAAGGGAAAGAATCTAACATATTTTGTATTCTAACACTAGTGAATGATATGAGGATTTCAACTTTCAGTTTGGTTTTGGAGTTAAAATACAATATTAGATTGCAGTTGGTTATTCTTTTATTAAATATTGTGTATTAAAGATTAAACAGATAAGCGATAATTAATACAAAAATAATCTTCCAATAACATGAATAAACAATCTAATATATATGATTAATAATGTCTATAAAAAAATAAAAGAGAAAAAACCCTAGTACATAATCTAATAATAAGCACATTAATCTTCTAGAAATAATGGTAACAATTTGTAGAAAAACAAGGTGTTTTACTTCACCAAGTCATTATCAAATTATTGTATTCTACAGGATTATTATAAGTATCAAAACCATTTAATTACTTTTCTTTAAACTTTCAACTTGGGTCATGATCGGTAGAACTTACCTATTCTTGAGTTGAGTTGAGAAGAAGTTTGGGCAATCTCTTAATAATGAAGAGTGTTTGGCTCCATGACAATTTGCTTCACATCAATTTCTATTTTTCGTTTTGATTCATAGAATCTTATGATATTTTTGTTCATAAGATCCCATGATTTTATCTTAAAAAAATATTTATTAAATTAAATATGATATAAACACTTAAAATTTTAATACGAAATTGATGTAAAATTTAGGACTCTTCTCTTGAATCATGATAAAAGATTCATTGTTTCATTTTTGTTTGAGGGAAAAAGAGGAAAAACTATGGTGTCTGATCATATTTTACAAATTTTTGTAACATTAGTAGTAAACCTGTCATCAATCAAGAACTTTTCTAGCTAGCCGAGCTAGTAACAGTACATATTATTTATTTATCAAGTGGAATGTTTATCTTCGTAAAGCCTGGGTTGAAAACTAATTCATATATAAATTAGTCAGAGATGGTTGAGAATACAAATAAAATGGCATGGCAGGTGTGAAAACGCAATGGATTCCTTCTGAAATCAAATAAATTAACAAATCAACATTGACACATTTCTTGATCAAGGACCACCTTTCTTCCCCACCCCCTTCAACCTAAAAAAGGAAACAAAATTTCAAGTGAAGATCTAAATTTTAATCATGCATTGATATTGATACACATGAAAGCCTTTCAAAGAACTTGTGTTAAGATTTAATTAAACAAAATTAATTACGTACATGGTTTTTCCAAGATATAATATATCACAAAGTTCAAAGTGTGGATGCAACGAGATTCGCCTGAATAGTTTAGACAACATAATCAAGACTCAAGTACAATACAGCAGCTGAACTCTTAATTAGAACAAAAAATGACCCACTTGATTATGTAAATTAATTAGTTTTTTTTTTGGTTACATCAGATATCATAATTTAAAAAATATATATTATAAATATTAAGATTCGAAACTAAAAAAAAGTTATAAATATTAGGATCAGAACTTTTGACCTAAAGAATATTATTTTTTGAAAATAGTTGAATAAATTAATAAATTAAAATTAAAATTTACATGTGTTTTAGTAGTTTGAATATAAAAAAATACTATAATTTAAAGTTTAAATATGTTAAATATCATCTTTTAAGATAATTTATTAATAAATCGAGTTAAATTTTAAAATTTAATATATATCTTTAATGATGATTGAATTAGTATTAGGATGTTAATTAAGATGTTAACACACTGATAATATTTTTTTATTTTTCTAATCATTCACTCTGTTTGTTTTCTTGTTTTCTGAGCATAAAATTAAAAAAAAAAGTTTAGAAACGCGTAAAATGATTAGTTTTCCTTACAATTGTTAACAATATTCTTCTTATATTATCAAAAGGTGATAATGACTTAGAGTTGAACATCATTTATTTCTTAAAGTTATGAGTTCTAGAGTAGAACAAGTCAAGATTAGATATTGCTATCCCACCATAAAATGAAAGAGGTGCATAGTCTCACCATAAATTTTTTACTATTATATCTTTAGAAAATGAATTCTTAAAATTACTTGCCGAAGATGAATGGTTTGAATTACTTTGGATGATATCACTTGTAATTTTGGAAAATTTTTAGGACAATCTCCAAGATGGTCTGAAATTTCTTACATGGGCTAATTCTTGCCCTGCCCAACCTAGCTGGATTAACCCATGTTTCCATTCCTTACAAAGACAAGATTACCCTCGTTATTTGCCCATAAAGACAGATATATATTTTTTTATATATTATTTTTTTTTATTGCAGTTTATCTACCTTGCGTTAAAGCGGATTTTTAACAGAAAACAAAAAAAAAAAAAAAGAAAAAGAAAAAAGCAATGGCGGTTGCTGTTGGTGGAGCAGTAACAGTAACCACAACCGGCGCACGTTTACTGTCACTCCCGCGCACGTTATCTGCTATCAAGACTTCATCATTTGTGGCAACGTTGTCATCCTCTAAGTTGGGTTTTTGTCCAGTAGGGATAAGGAACAATGAACCCGCAAGAAAGAAGCTGTTGGTTATCCGAGCTGCAAGAACTGGGTCCAAAGGCGTTTCCCTTGGTTTCAGGGCTCCCAATTTCCAGGTTTCGTCTTTACGCAAACATAAAAATTTTACATTGTAAAAACATTTTTTTTTGCCTGTATTTATTACTACTATATTGTTTGTTTCCTTTGGAGGATAGTTGCCAGAGCCTCTAACTGGGAAGACTTGGACTTTGGAAGATTTTGAGTCATACCCTGCTTTGTTGGTAATAACCCATTTCTTTTCTTGCAATATTTTATTCTTCTCTGGTCTTCTTTTTTTTTTTTTGTGGTTTTTTCTCTGAATAATTGTTTTTTGGGTAAAAAATTATGTGTTTTATTCTATCTCTTTTCTTGGTTATATTAAATTGATTGAGCTTATATTAAGTTAGTTCAGGTATGTTTCTTTTGTGAAATTTGCAAAAGAAAGGCATTTTAAGTTTTCGGATATTCAAGTTGTTTTATTGGAAACAGTTGAGATAATTTCATCTTTTTTTTTTTTTTTTTCATGGATTTCATTAGGATCAAATATTGCATTCAGTTTGATTTGTATTGAATTTCATAAGTTTTAAGATAAGGCACTAGGAGAAAGGTACATGAATTTGATTAATTCATAAATTGGGGTCTCATTGAATTCCGATAAGAGTAGAAATGATTGAAAATGGGGTAACTGTCAGGTTGGTGTATATACTTTTGGTCTCATTGTTCTTTGTTTATGGAGCAATGCCTCAGTATTTGATGTGTTGTACTTTATTCGAAGGAGGATGGTATTTCTTGTCACAAGATTTGAGAAAATATATAATTAGAACTTAGGTTTTTGACAACAGCAGGCAAAGATACAAGAAAATGGTTGAAACTAGTAAGGGATTCTGAATTGCATATTTTATTAGAAGAGATGATTTGTTCTATTGGAATATGTAAGTAGTTATTACTATAAATTTAAGATCCAGAGACAATACTGGTTTGAAAGGGAACTGAGTCTGACGGGGACCATAGTTGAATAAATGACCAATATTATTGTTATGATATTGTTGCATCAAAATCATTGGCGTTGGGATTTTTTATTTGGTGTTCAGGATAACTGTGACCCAATGCTTCAAAAATTTTAAATTTCTGGAATGTAACAGCTCCAAATAGTTATCACAATAAGCACCTGCTCTTTCAGTTTCAGGTGCTGACTTATGGATGTTGGTTTGACAATGATGCCATGGCTTGATTTATGTTTGTTCTTTTTCATAGGAGATAAAATTACTATATTTTGTCATTTTGGATCAATACAGAAAGATAAAAAGTTATTTTTGGAGCATTTTTTAATCAATGTGAATGTCTGCCTCTCTATGCTGCTTAGAAATAGCTGGAGTTGTTTTAGTTCACTGAGTGGAGCCAATCTGTGAACTAGGTTTCTAGGGCATGATCCAAGCTTGAAGCTTAAGTGCTGATTTGGCTCAAGGCTAAAGCTTAAATATCATGGGGCTTGTAAATGGTGCATTTATAAATAGACATCATATAGTGGAGTGTCCAGAGTAATCCTCGAACACTCTGGTTTTTGATTCCAGTGTCTTAATGCACAACCATAAATTCTTGTATTGCCGCATTCACTATGGTTAGCACTTTTTACATGGAAGTGTAACTATTTTTTCTCATGTTTTTTGAATCTACTACCTATTAAATGAGCTAGACCTAGTACTTGAAAAAGGGCTATAGTTTTCATATGAACAAAGCCAATTTCATACAAGTAGAAATGGATGTAGTAGGCAGATCTTTGCCCCAAACAAACCATATTCAACTAGTATCATACTTGTTTTCACTTGGGCCATTTGTGATACGTGTCCTTTCAGGTTTCGATGTAAAGAAACACAAGCACTAACACTATCTAAATTATGGGATTAAATTCTGCAAAAATATCACAGTAATCATCGCAGTTTTATTGAATTATGTAGAGTTGAAAAACTATGATCATCTATATCATGTTTGAACTAACATTGCAAACAGACATGGTTCATAGCACTAGTAACAGATAGTGTTATGAAAGTTTGAAACACTCAACATAATGAAGTGTTGCTTTAAACATAAATAATAATACTCCATTAGTTTCAAAATAATTAGTAATTATAATAATAATATGCATCATGAGCTTCTCGATTCTTGAGTATTAATAGCATTTATTCTCTTTATATTGACATATATATTTAATCATTAGATTTACAGTAACCATGTTGTTTTGCAGGTTATGTTTATTTGCAACCACTGCCCATTTGTTAAGCACTTGAAGAAGGATATTGTGAAGCTTTCAAATTTCTATATGAAGGTATTAAGTGCCGTGCCCTTCCTCTTACTAGACTTTTCAGCTTTCTTTGTTTCCTGTTATCAAAAAGAACTTGGAAAGATAAATGACTGTACAAGATGAACCTTCCGAAATTTATTGCATTCTATTGCAGAAAGGGCTCGCTGTTGTTGCAATATCTTCAAATTCTGTAGTCACTCACCCTCAGGTTCCAGTGATCCCCTATTTTGAGAATAGAGCTGCTTTAAAGCTCTTGTATGATTTCTCCAAATGAACTGTTGTTCACAGGATGGACCACAATTCATGGCAAAAGAGGCTAAACTGTATAATTATCCTTTCCCTTATCTATATGATGAGGTATGCCAGTGCTACCCTTGTTCTCTTCCTTTGTTGTTTTGATTAAAAACAGTATAAATAAATGAAAAAGTTATTAGAAATGTGCTTCTATCGTTTACCTCTAAAACTATGCTTCTTTCATTTTCTTAAAATCTGCAGTTTGTTTTGCATTATTATAGCTTTAAGATAGCTGAATTTGCCTGTTATTTCATTGTCATTAATTGTTTTATCGTTTTTATTTTACTCTTCATGCCATGTGGACATGCATTCACAAACTGCCCTGCCTAAATTGGCACAGGTGTAGTTAAATTGTGATATTCCCTAGGAATTTTTGTAGATTAGGACTGGATCTGAAAATCAGACCATAAGATTCTAAGATTATACAAACTTAAAAAATTACAGTTCTTTAATTAAGAAAAAATTTAATCAGATGTAATAGTGGTAAAATTAGAAAAACTTGGCATCCCTTTACAATAAAAATAACACATATCAAGTGTTAACTAAGATCACAGGGAATATGAAAACCTTAGGACTGCAAGACAGAAAGTAGACTAGGAAAGAATACTTTAGAATCTCTGTTCTGTTTCTGCAATTATCTGGCACGTTCATCTGTATTCTTCTTTTTTTTTTTTTAATATCGTAATATTTTTCTTTCCTAAAGCCTTAGAAATCTGGCAGATTTCTTCGGCTGTAGCGTATCAGTCTTTGGACACCTCAAGCAGACATTAGTTTGCTTCGTAATTGATTTTCTGCTTAAGAGCTTCTTATTGATTAAGTCAAATATGTTTAACTGCAGACTCAAGATGTTGCAAGAGATTTTGGGGCAGTTTGTACACCAGAGTTTTTTCTATTTAACAAGGTGATCACAACATGTGTAACTTATTTTATGTTTCTTTCAAACATCAAATTGTTGGTTTTGCTCTTGATTGTCTTTATAGGCAGCCAGCCTTGAGCCAGTTTGGCAATGATAATTTGGCAGCCTGCAATTCCATAAAGATTTGAATGCTAGAAATTTGTGATTTATTACAATATGATCCGCTTAGAAGACTTTCTGTGGTGGGATTAAGTCTTGGGATCATGTTCAATAGCCTTTAAATAATAGTAACTTGCAAGGTTCTTCCTTTTGAAACAGGATGGCAGGAGGCCATTTGAGCTGGTATATCACGGCCAATTTGATGATTCCCGACCAAGTAATAGTGTTCCTGTTAATGGAAGGTTGACTTTTATGATTTTAAGCTTAATATGTAATTAATAATTTGACTTCCCCCCTCCTGTTGCATTAGTAAACAATCTGCTTGTTTAACGATTTCTAGGGACTTAAGCCTTGCTATTGATAGTGTTCTTAGTGGCCAACCAATAACATCAATTCAGAAACCAAGGTGCACTCTTCCTCAAGTACATTGTTTTTTTGTTACTATTCAAAGTTTGACTCAAGGGATTACCCACTAAAAGTCATTATTTCCCATTTGCTAATAGTGTTGGATGCAGCATAAAGTGGCACCCACAAAAAAGTTCGTAGTCTGCAACAAATATTTTCAGTTATCTGAAGAACATAATTTGTGAGTGTACATTTGTTCAGAGGAGAGGCATTCCTTTTTAGTGCTAATAGATAATATCGGAATGTAACTTATTTTCTAGTAATAAATGTTCCATAAACCAACTGGGTCCTTTCGATTTCTGGAAGCATGGTGCATATGGGAAGATTTAACATGTGATTTTGATCTGGCTTTTGATTTGCTATATATGAATTGTTTGCATATGCACAGAAAGGTCTTTCAAAAGTGTACTGCTTACTGTTGTGAGTATTTAGATTATTGGCATGCAATAGTCATTTGTAATTAATTACTTGTCTTCTTGCATGTATACTTCTGACAGGCATTGAGAGAAGTGGTTCAAGAATGTATAACACTAACCAACAGTCTGGAACTTTAAATAATTTTGCATTTAAAATTTCCTTGGGCATAGCAAACAACATAGTATTTAGTCTTTATTCTTTTGGTACAATTGACTGGTGCGTACGATCAAGGGATGGATCTAGAACTTTTCTTTAGTGGGGGCAAATTTATTATATAATATATTTACTTAAAATTTTTTATTTAATATAAAGGTAATGTTTTCTGTAAAATAGAGTTTTAATAAAATTTTTTTTATAATATCAAATATATAAAAAGTTTAAATAAAAATTAATATAAATATAACAAAAACTTATAATATTAAATGCATAAAAAATTTAAATATTAAATAAATAAAAACACATGATATTATCATTTTTCAAATGAAAATAATACTATATAATTGAGTTAAATAGTTTTCATAAGTAGAAAATCTAAGAAATTTTTTTTAATTGTCAATATTAAAAGATATATAATTTTATTTAATTTCAGATATATTTTTTTAAAATTCACTTTCTCTTACTAATGATATTTGTTTTAGACTAACTTAAATCAAATACTAATTTAATTTCTCTATAGTTTTTTAGGCATAAGATAAGATATGAAAAATATAAAATTGGACCAACAACAAGCTACTTTTATATATATTTTAACTTTTTTAATAATTTTAAAATTGATATTAATTTTTTTTTTAATTTTAGATTTTGTTAGATTACATCTCTACAAGTTTGTGAGGTTACATCTCTACAAAATTATTTTACATCAAATACATATTATTATAAATTCTAAATAATGTTAAAAAACACCTTATCACATTATCAATATAAAAGAAAAATAAGAGAATAAAGTACTTTGATATGTTAAAAATTTTTTTTTGTATCATGAGTGTTTTGTCGTAATTTCATTTTACTTGTTATCTATATTTTACTATATAAGATTAGTTTAGCTTTAATTTGCACTTTTTTTTTCTTTTACAAATATTTTATCATTTTATACTTGACTTGGACACTTTTATAATAATATAATGATATTTCACATAGGTAAAAAAAAAATTGAAGTTTGTGAATAAAAAGAGAGGCGAATAGATAGATAGGGGCAAAAGAGAGAAAAATAATATTAGATTGTGACTTAAGTCAGAGACTTATATGAAATAATTATTTATAAGCTAAAATTTATTAATATTTACATATAATACTTTATTTTCTTTTGAAATGAGTCAATTTTTTTTAGTAAAGTATATCTATACTTTATAATACTTTTAAATCCTTCCCTTTTATATATATTTTTTTCAATTTAGTAGGGGCAAAATGTAAAAATTATTAAAACTTTTGTCTAATATCATAATATATTTAAATAGGTTATAGGATTTCAATGGGGGCAGTTGCCCCCACTGTAAATCCGTCGTTGCATATGATAGTTTTGACAATTAGTCAGTATACTCTCCATCGTGCTCTGACACCGACAATTCTTAAATCTTCTTTTCACATCTTTTTGCATCCTGTCATGGCCCTAAACTTTGCCAAAGTTATTTCTTAATTGTTACAAGTTCCCCACCAGGCTAATACTGCAATATAAAGGTGTAAACATATTCAAGAATGTTAGCATGTTAACACATGGTAGCTTAGGCTTGAAGATTTTTCTTTTGTAACAGTTGTAAACACAATATTTTGTACTAGGTAATTTGGGCTTTGGACCTGATTTATTTGATTTGGATTTATCATCTGGGTATTAGGCTCATACTCAATGCAAGCCTATTTATTTTTATGTTTTATTTATTTATTTTTTTCATTTTTCTAGAAAAATATATAAAAAAAAAAGATAAAATGAAATGATGATATTTTTTAAATTCAATTGCCTATTGAAATCAAAATTCAGATTGAAGGGGATAAGATGCTCAATTTTTGAACCAAAATCCTATCTTCATCATTTTTATTTAAACTGTAGAGCAATTACACTGGAGGAAAAAAAAAGATGGAGCAAAGATCACACCACTCATCCTTTTCTGCCTTTTTTCCCGTTAACTAGTCTCCATCACTGCCATCTTAACCAGTAGCCGATCCCAATCCCAACATTGCTAGATTAAAAACCATCCCTAATCAACACCACATTGCCACCGCCAGTCAGCTTAACGCCTCCATCACCATCCCAATCTCAATCGAAACCCACAGTCATCCAGATTCATCAACAGAACCGTAGCTCAGCCATATTCACAAAACCTTCCATCTAAATTCAACCAATTACGTAGAGAAGCATCGACCAAAACACCCTTTCTCTTGTAACCATTAAATAGTCCCCTGCTTCCTCTCCTATTAAACAGTCTCCGCATAGCCACTTAAACAGTCCTAAAGAACTTTAAACCCAACCACAATTCCAGCTACAACCTAATTCCCTGCAAACCAATTTCCAGAAATTAAAAATTTAATGTTTCAACAAGCTATTAACAGCACATTTCTAGCAATCTCAACCACCTGAAATTTTTCATTAACCAAACAATGAACAATAATAGAGGCAAAACCAAAAGACATGCATCAAAACATCAAAACAGATGCTACAATAACCCTTCACTTAACCCAATTTTGCCACCATCATCAACATCTTGCCAAGCATCCATTAACTGTTAGTAGACCACAAAAAAAAAAAAGCAAAGCCAAGTCAGAAACAAAAAAAAGACTAGAAACGGCAAAAGAAAAAAAAAAAAAGAAAAGACGTCTTTCTAGGTTTAGTTTGGTTCTCTTCAAGATGTTTTTGAAGCTTTAAAATTTGTAAGGAATCAGTTAAGGCTCCAAAGAACAACATATCTAGAAGCGGCGGCCATCGAAGCAGCGAGGATAGCTAAAAGGCCTTGCATTTATCTTTAGATTTAGGCCACTGGAGTGCGATTTTCGAAATCTTGCATCCAAATCCAAGACCAAGGGACCTACACAAACTCGTGGAGACTTTTTGGAGGTTTTTGGTCATCGAGGGATGGTCGATGAACGGCAGCGTGTGGTGGTAGCGACGGTGATCTCCACCAGATTCTAAGTTCTGGCTGACAGAGTTCATAGTACCTAGAGAGAGAAGAGAGAGAATATGTTCTTAGAGGGAGAAAGGTAAAATTTGAAATGAGGAAAAAAAACTGAAAAGAGGATTTTATAGTGTTAGTAAAACGGTGTCGTTTTCAGATAAAGGAACTGGCTTCTATTTGACCCGCTTCAAGGATCTACGTACTGCTTCACGGGTGACTCAATCCATTTTGCAAAGCCATACCCTGAGCCACCTAGCTGAGTCCAAGCCGATTCTGTAGCCACATCTTCTAAGTCATTTGTTGTTTCTATAGCCAAGTCATCTAGCTACCAAGTCGAGTCGCCAAACCATTCCAATACAAAGAAACCAAGTCATTCCCTATTGACTCGAGTCAAAAATTTTTTTTTGGTAATTCTTTTTGTGATATTTTGTTTATTTATTTATTTAATTTTTTGGGTAAATTTTATAAAAAAAATAATTAAAATAATTTTAAAAATTAAAAAAAAGTTAAAGTATCAAATTTTTCTTAAATATAAAATAATTTCAAAAAGAGAGAAAAAGTTGAATTAATAATTTTTTCTAAAAACAAAAAAATAATTTTAAAATTTTGAGACAAAAGTTGAAGTATCAATTTTTTTTATGATAAAAAATAATTCTAAAAAATTTTGAGGAAAAAGTTAAAATATCAATCTTTCCTTAAAAGAAAGTTTTCAAAACATTTAGGAAAAAGTTAGAAGTATCAATTTTTTTCTTAAAGAAAACATCAATCTTTCCTAGAATAAAATAAAAAAATTCTTAGGAAAAAATTAAAATATCAAAATTTCTTAGAATTTAAATTTTTTAAATGTTAAATAATCTAACGACGGAACCTCTGTAAAGAAACAATAGTTTTCTTGTATACTCTTGAGGTGAAAGAATTTTCTTAATTTTCTGTCAAAAGTATTAAAGTCAATTAAAAACAATTCACAATAATTAACTATCTGATAAGATTTTTTAGGCTTAATGGATAACATAAAATCAAGCTCGTACCATCCTTTGATAGGCATTATGAGGGTGTTATAACCTTCCTATTACGTAATCATGCTTCCAGACCTAGTTCTGGTTTCTAGATATTGAATTTATATTTTAAAGATACTTGAGTAAATGTTGAGATTTCTTTTTAAAACGGGACAGATTTAATTAGGTGGTCAATCGCACTTAAACAAAAAAGATTGATAGCAATTTTTAAAATTTATGTTTAACGATAAGTTCACGGATTTAAACATTATGATAGTTTGGTAACTCTGCTAGAGAGAAGCTGAGAGTTAGGCTAGCAAATAAATTTGTGTTATCCAAAAACCTAATAAAATTAGATTTGTTTCTTAAAAAAAAATTTATTTATTCACTTATTTTATTTATTTATTTTGCTTACTATGTCATTTATATGCATGTGTATAACATGAACTTTATATCTGAGCTCCGTTCTTCTAGGAGGGACTTACGCTTTTGTAAGGTTTTAATGCCTCTACAATAGCTAGCGAAATACTTCCACTCAAATTGAATATTTTTTGCTTGTAATCTATAATGAGTGAGGATTGAGGTGCCTTATTAGTTTGTGATGAAGATGTAGGAAGCAATTTGAAAATGTTTAGATCAACCTTAAACCACATATAGTGACAATAAGAAATTTAACCTGTAGCTAGAGCTTTACCTTCTTTTTTGTAGAAAAAATCTAAAAGTTAGGTTACATTTTTTGCAATGATTAATTTTCTTGTATGGGAATTAACTTTTTCTTTTGTACGTATCATGTTGCATGAATTGTCATTTTGAGATGTATGATAAAGTGTATGAATTTCTTCCTTAATCTATTTTTCTTTGTTTAAAGTAAGATAATATTAGGCTGCATATA